ACTCGGGCGTCCAAACCATGGCGGGGAAGGGACAAAGGGAAAGGGTTCCCTGGCCTAGCGTCGAAGAGTTTCTTACACACACCAACTGGGTCGGCGGATTTGCAGTACGCTTTGCGGAGACCTCGACGGGACCTGGGGACACTCCAATTCGCGATTCGGGGTAAGGTGGCGGATAGCGTGATGGTATTAGGGTTAGCGTGGTAGGGTTCTGGTGTAAAGGTTGCGGTTAAAGGGGCTGCACCAGATTATCCCCTCCCTGCCCTTAAGTAAGATCGATGTATCGTCGTATCGCGCCAGCGCGGTCTTGCATCCTCTGCACCTTCCGAGCACATCGGGGCCGTCTCGGGGCGACTTGGGGGCGCGTCTGGGTCGCGCTACCGCTAAAGGTCTTTAGTTTGGGTTCCCCCCTTCCCTGTCTTCCTCCTCTTCCTCCTCCCGTGAGAGCGCCCCTGAGGCATAAGCAGTCGTAGCCATCGTAGTCGTAGTTGCAATCGTTGTCGTAGCTGTCGTCGTCGTTGTTGCGCGGCCGCGGAAGAAAATATTACTGACCCCCTGTTGCTGGGATCCTGGTCCGTCCATGAGGCGCCGGAGAAATAACTAGTAACCCCTTTTGGCGCGGTTTTTGCATCCGCTCGGGCTCCTCAACAATTTAATCACGCCAGCGCGATCTGATGCATCTGCTCCTTGACGCCTCCTGCAGCGACGAGGGGTGTGAAACGGTGGAGATGCGAAGATGCGGATGTGGATGCTGCTGCTTGTGGTCACGGCGACCTTGGGAAGCTTGGGGAGCGATTTGACGTCTGGAAGCGAATCGGAACGTCTGTGGGACCTGCAACCAAGTTGCGGGGGGAGGGTCCGCGAGCAATGGAGTTGACATCTTCAAGTCTGGCAGAGTGAACTCCTCTTTTAAAAGAATAGCAGATTCTACCCCCCCAAACTTATCCGTCATTGGCTTCGCTTGTGAATTCGTATATGACCTGGCCCCTCGTCCACCCTAATCGTGAAACATATCACATCCCAACCAGGTCGGTACCGACCACCCCTCCATCCTTTGCAACATATGGAATGCGCGCGCTCTTGCTTATGAGAAGCGTCACTTTTCCAGAACCCTCTGCGTGTCGGAATCCTTGGCAGAAGCCTTCGGCATCGTCAGGGGTCAAATGCGAGTGCCACCGCACTGCAGCCGTTGCGGAGCGGCGACGGCGGCAGACTTTTGGGTCCACGAAGCACGGGCACGCGCACACTCTGAGGTCCACCGGAGGGGCCCACCGCCGACGGCAGGGCCAAACAACCCCTCCTCCAGATATACGGGCTGGCCGGCCGAGCATCTTGGGAGACGTGCGATCCCAATGTGGTCGAGCACGATTCCCAGACCCCCTCGAGTCATGTAAAAATCACGACGGGAGGTTTTTCTATGTTTTCGGCCTCCGGGGGCCCTTACTGGCCCTCGGGACCGTCAAAAAACGACTCACGGTGAAAAACCGGTCCCGGCGAAGAGGTCCAGAACTTTGGGGGTCGCGTCATGAAAAAATCATGACGTCGGGGGTCTGGTTTCTGTGTATGGCCAGGATCAGACGCCAGGTGCTCATCGAGCGCTGCCAGCCATCTCGGTCGGCTCAGCCGCCGCCGGCGGCGGGCCGGCCACAGACAGACACCGGCCGAACGGCTGACACAGCAGCACCACATCCTTCACGGAGCATGCAAGGCCCAACCACTACTGCAGCAGAACAAGTGGAGCTTGACCACTCACTCCCCGGCTCCTGGAGTTGGAGAGCTGGGTGATTGAGACCAGAATAGATTCCCTCCCTGCTGGGCCTCCTGGGGCCCGGTGCGCGGCAGCCGGCTGGCTTGCCGCGCGACCTGCAATGCTGGTCGACTCGTGCACTTCCCGCATACATTGTTTTGCAGCATGAGTTTACGAAGCAATTTGTTTGCGCCCGCGCTGAGGCGAATGATTTGGGAAACCTTTGGTTTGTGCAGCATGTTCCTAACATGCCCCCAGACTGGAATTTGCGCGCACCGATATCGTTCCAACACGTTTCGCGCGCGTGCCGCCGCAAGAATCCCGCGCAAAGCAAAAGAGGCGAAGTGCACGCGCGCGCGTCGTCGCGCGCGTTGGAGTCCGTAGGTTCCGCGCGCCAAAATGGAGTGCCCCGAAAACGTATCCATGATATGTATATACAAGTACAGACACACTGTTCCTGCAACAGCAGTTTTGAAACGATCCCGCGTTCGCGCTCGCGCGGATTCTGTCGGGGGGCGATCTGTTTTCCAAAGTGTGCATCCGGCTCTGTCAAACGGGCCCTTTCGCGCCGCATGTCGAACTCATTCGAACGCCCTTGCGCGCGCGGGAGGGGGGGGGGGGCGGGGGCGCGGTCCGCGTCGACGAATACCGCGCGGGCCACTCGCGCGCGTGCCAGGCCCCCATTTGCAATCTTCACCGCTCGCGCGAGGACATCTTTATCGTCCTCGGCGGGCGCGAACAACTCAGGAGGAAAAGAAACACACAGACACAATTAATCCTCGATTCCCCAGAAAATATGGGAAAGTATGGGAAGGGGGGGGAAGACAGAAACCCAGAACATATATGAAAATATGAGGATGTGTGTTATTTGTGTGTATGTATTTGTGTGTCCTGGGGCCCCTTCAACAACCTCGGCGCCACCATTGGCCTTGCTGTTGTCATCGCTTCCATCGCCACCGTCATCGCTTTTTTTACACCAGAAATCGCGACTCCCGTTGTCGGCGTCGCCATGATACCGCGCCCGTCCCGGTTACCGACTCGCACTGAAGTGCCCGCTAGGAAGTGCCTAGCAGCCAGCGCCACCGCGGCCGCGTCGGTCGCGCCCTACTAGCTGGCCGCTGCGCGCGCGAGCATGCGCGGGCTAGCGCGGCCGCAGAGATGCACCAGCCAGCGCCACGCACTCATCGCAGCTGCCGCCGCGTGGGCGTGGCAGACCGGGTCCCCCCACGGTTTTCCGGAGGGGGGGGGGGGGGGTAGAGGAAGGGGGGGGGGGGGGGCCGTGGAAGGGGGGGGGGTCCAGCACAGGGGGGGATTTTCCGAGGGGGGGGGGGACCCCCGGGTTCCGGAGGAAGAGGGGGGGAACCTTCCACAGGAAAGCGGCGGTGGATCTTTCTTTCTCTCGTATCATCATCGTGTCAGCCGTTGCCGACGTTGCCATGATACCGGGCCCGCCCGAGTCACCGACACGCACTTACGTGCCCAGGCGCCAGCGCGGTGTGCGAAACGCGCAAGGACCCCCCCAGCGGACAACGCCGTCTTGGCCGCGTCGGCCGTGCCAGACTAGTTGGCCGCTCCGCGCTCGAGCTTGCGTGCGCTAGCGCAGCCGCAGGGATGGGTTTTCCAAACCGGGTTGCGGGCGTGTGGGCGGGATGATTGCGCAAATCGTGGACTTGAGTGGCATTTCCAGATTCGGCAAGGCGAGCTGCACCACGTATATTAAGCAACGCAGGTTGCTAGAGTCACGATTTTGGGTCCAACGTTTGCCAACAATTCCTGAGGAAACGACGATCCCTCTCGAACGCGGTTTGATTCTAAATCGCAATCGTTGGAGCCCGAATTGCAATGACAACGGCTCCCGCTCAGTACATCCACGCAAATTGCTATAGTGCGTCTTGGCCAGACATGTATATTTTTCGAATGGGGTTATGTCTCGATTGTCGTTCACCATTTACCCGAGTTGATTCAGGCCGAGCTACGACGACAACGGTATTGTCCGTTCACGATTTGTCCGTAATGTTTTCCAGGACGTCTTGGCCAGAGGTGTCCCTCAAGAGCGGCGTTTTGGCCCGAAGCATCCTTGCGATCCAGTCGGGGTGGTGAAGGCGGTCCATTTACGACGAGTGGCTTGGTCAATCCTCTTTCCCTAGCGATGGTATGACAAAAACAATATCCAAGAAGAGATTCAAGTGTTGAGCTCGTGGGCGGGGAGAAGGGAAAGGGGAAAAGAAGCCAAGCCCAAAGCAGCCTTTTAGATCACTCGTTCGCAAGACGGTCGTTGTCGCCGTCACCGTCGTCGCCGCCCAGTCGTCTCGTCGTCGTCGTCGCCAACGTCGTTGCATTCGTCGACAAGGTCGTCGTCGTCGTGGTCGTCGTCGTCGTCGTGGTCGTCGTGGTGCTCGTCGTCGTCGCCGTCGTGGTCGTCGTCGTCAACGTGGTTGCCGTCGTCGCCGTCGTCGCCGTCGTCGCCGCCGTCGCCAGAAGGGCCAGGCGCCTGCGAGCGCCCCAGTGCCGCCATGGGGCCCCATGCGGGGGGGGTGGGGGCCCGGAGGTGCGCGCGAGCGCTGCGGTGGCGCCGGGGGACCACTGCACGGGGGGGGGGGGTCGGGGCTCAAGGGACCTCCTCCTCCTCCTCCTCCTCCTCCTCCTCCTCCTCCTCCTCCGCCTCCTCCGCCTCCTCCGCCTCCTCCGCCTCCTCCGCCTCCTCCGCCTCCTCCGCCTCCTCCGCCTCCTCCGCCGGGGGTCAATGCACACGGGGGTCGGTCAGAGCGCCAGATCTTGCAGGATCCTGCAGGGCCAGGGGTGCACTGACCCCGGTTTGGGGCGCCGGATCCTGCAGGATCGTGCAGGATCCTGAAAGGCCTGACTGACCCGGGTCTGGACTGACTTGGGTTCGAAGATCCATGAGGGGGGGCGTGAGTCTGCCCCCCTTTTCCCCACTAGCGCGCGCTATCGCCACGAGTGGAAAGACGAGCACCTCGCAGCGCTGCGGTTGCGATCGTTTTCTTGTTCCTTCTCTCGCCGATCGGCGCGGGCCCTCGGCCCCCCCGCTCCCACCCCGCGTGGAGTAGCTCTCGTTTTTTTTGTTGGCGCCTGTTTCGAGCAGGCGGGGTCTCCCCCATAGGACGCACTGCTGCAAACAGTCGCATTAAGCAGAGGGCCGGAGCCAGACCCCACCAGGCCGAATAAGAGAACGCTCTCACGTTCAGGACAGCATGGCTGCTGCAGAGGTTCTTTCGGTGCCGTGTTGGCTCACGGTAGCCCACCCAAGGTGGTCGCGTTTTTGTGTTTTATTCGAGGTTTCCAGGTTAGCCATGGGCTGCGCGGGCTCTAACGACAGCAAGGCCTCCGCATACAAAGCAGGTAATGCTCCGATGGCAACCCTCAAGGTTGATCCGACGAGTGATTTGGTGAAGCTCTGGACAAAGTCGGGGAAGATTGCGGTTTCTGGCCGCTACCATTTTTTCCCAAAAGAAATGCGAGATGATTACACAGTGATGAGCACGGTACTTGGCACAGGCCTTAGTGGTGAGATCAAGTTAGCGGTAGAGAAAGGTAAGCCTGGCGGTGCCAAGTACGCTGTGAAGGCGCTCAAATTGACAAACATTGGTGCTGACAAGCTCAATGAGCTCAGATCTGAGGTGGATGTATTCTTGTGCATGGATCATCCGCACGTTGTTCGGCTGTACGACGTTTACGAAGGCGCAGACTTTCTACACCTCGTCATGGAATGCATGGAAGGAGGCGAGCTGTTCGATCGCGTGGTTGAGCTCAAGATTTTCAACGAGGCACTCGCTGCCGAGGCAGTGAAACAGATGCTGCTGGCCCTCAATTATATCCATCACCACGACATGATCCACCGAGACATCAAGCTTGAGAATTTCCTTTACGACAAAAAGGGGAGCAACCACTTGAAGTTGATCGATTTTGGATTCAGCAAGATCGGGGACATCAACACCAAAATGCAGGCGACATGCGGCACTCTGTCATACGTCGCACCAGAGGTCTTGTTGAAGAGCTACGACAAACAGTGCGATCTGTGGAGCCTCGGGGTCATTGTCTTCGTTCTACTCGTCGGCCATTTGCCTTTCTCTGGTTCAGATGAAGAGCAAAGGAAGAACATATCCGAAGGCAGGTTCGCCATAAAGCCCGATCTTTGGAGTAAGGTTTCCAAGGATGCCCAAAAGTTCACGCTGCAGGGCCTTCTGCAGATGGACCCGACAAAGAGGCTGACTGCAGCGCAGGCCTTGGAGCACAAGTGGATCAAGGCGAGACAAAAGAAGCATCGCGAGATCGATAACGGCGTCGCCGACGCCCTTCGCTCCTTTGGCCAGGCCAGCAAGTTCCGCCGCTGCTGCATGGAAATGATGGCGTGGTCCTTGACAAACGAGGAGCGGTCGCAGGTGCGCGACGCTTTCATTGCCATGGACGAAAGCAAGCAGGGAACCATCAGACTCGTGGACTTAAAGAAGATCTTGCAGGACAAATTCGACATACCTGACGAGGAGGTTCTCAGCATCTTCCAGTCCCTCGACGTCAGCCACGACGAGGAGATTCATTACAGTGATTTCCTCGCAGCCATGGTCGGCTACAGGATTCAAATGCATGATGAGCACCTCCAGGCTGCCTTCAAGAGGTTCGACAAAGATAGTTCTGGGTACATTTCCCTCGATAACCTGCAGGAGGTACTGGGTGAATCGTACGAGGGAGAGTCGATGTCGAGTCTGCTTTCAGAGGCAGATGTTCTTTGTGACGGCAAGATATCTTACCCAGAGTTTGTGTCGTACTTGACAGGGCGGCCCTTGGAGCAACAGCTTATTGGTGCATCCATCGTGGACCAGGAGCTCAAGAATCCCGGGTCACCCAGCACGTCCATCAGCAAGGCCAGCGCGGGTTACAAGAAGCAGCTGTCGATGAAGATTAACTCCGAAGAGCCTCAGTGACCCGAACCAGCATCCACGGATACCCGCGCGCGCTGAGCTCCCGTTGCCTGGCAGCCGTGGGCCGCCGTGGGCTCTTCGGTATCCCGCGCGCGCCGGGCTCGTGCCACGAGGGTCAATCTTACTCGCGAGTTGGAACTCACAGTCGTGAGGAGAGTGAAGTCAGTGTGGTGTCATAGTGTGGTGTTGAGAACCCTTGCGTGTGACACTACAGTATGATGCTACACTAAGGTTACTGTGGTGTCAGAGTATAGTGTTGGGGACACCGGGGTGCGACACTACACTATGGCACTACACTACTGCCGAGGAGGGGGGCTGAGTTTTTTCTGTCTGCTGTTCCGTAGGGTTTTTGACTGGCTCCGCATCGCGAGAGAGGACTCTACGCTACGGTTGCTGTGGTGTCATAGTATAGTGTTGGGGACACCGGGGTGCGACACTACTCCAGATTTCGTAATAAAAGGGAGGGGGTCACAACCCTCCCAGACGAAAAGTTTTAGACCCCTCCAGACCATCCATGAAAGGGCGGCCCTTCGCCCAGACCCCCCCGAACCCTCCGAGACAGCTCAAATCAGACCCCCCCCAGATGTGACCCCCCCCACTTTATTATGGAATCCGGAGTACACTATGACACTACACCTACGGCCGAGGAGGGGCTGAGTTTAGTCTGCTGTTCCGTAGGGTTTTTGACTGCTGCTCCGCCCTCCCGCGGCGGAAGGGGAGGAGACTTGCCCCATTCCCCTCTCCTCCATCCGGCCTTTCTCCGCTCTCTCTTCGCTTCTTGCATCTACACCTTAGGCGATGCTCAAGAAAACTCAAGTTTTCGGCCAGAGTCTCGATTATTCTTAATGTTTCAATTTAATTCCTGAGAATTCGAAAGGAAATCTGGGTTTTTATTCAAATTCTGAGACTATCAATTTCTTAACCCATGATTTCTTAAGCATCTCGCAGGGTGTACCTAGCTGTACTCTCGCCACGTCCTCCCGAGTCCTCCCACCTCCTCCCAGGTCCTCCCGCCTCCTCCCACCTCCACCGCAGCTAACCAAAAAAACTGCTGTCTCCCCTCCTCAGCCGTAGTGTAGCGTCATAGTGTAGTGTCGCACCCTAGCGGCTCCACCACTACACTGTGACACCACACTAACCGCAGCGGAGAGACCTCTCTCGCGGAGTCGAGGTGAGCAAAACCTAATGAAAACCAAACAGAAAAACAACGTCGTCCGTCTCTCCTCCTTAGCCGCACTGTAGTGCCATAGTGTAGTGTCACACTTGGTATCCTCTGACTCTACACTATGACACCAGTCTAAACCTCAGTGTAGTGTCATAGTGTGTCACTGTCGCGTGGACATGACACCGCACTAGTGAAGATAGTGTAGTGTCGTAGTGCAGTGTCGAACTTCACGTTTAAGATCTACTCTCGCGTGCCACGGCGCTGCACCAGGCAGTTTTGCCAACCCAGTAAGACTCGAGTAAGCCGGAACTCGGGTTTACCAACGATTTTCGACGAGCGTGTCCTGGATTTTGACGGTCCAGTTTTCGTGGGATGTTTGCAGCGGGAGCGCGCGTCAATTTTCAGATTTTGTTTTGTCATTTTTAAGATGGCCCTGTCACGCCAACCCGAGTCCCCCGTACCCGAGTCGTCCCGATATTGATGCGTTCTATTGACGTTATGCATCTGTGCGGAGGGCGCCCGATGAACTTGTTCAAGAGTGTGAGAATCCCACACGGGCCCACACGGGACAGGTTGTTCGATCTACTAGACAGGATTGCACTAACCATGGTTGGCCAGAGGGGGTTGGCCGGGTTTTTCGGGGCTGGTAAGGGGGGGTGTTCAGGGTCATCGTTGCGGGAGAAGTTCTCAATTTCCCAATGTGTATGAAGTTGTTCCCTTGGAAACGGTAGTGCCGAATCCCTGTCCTGATTCTCTTCGAAGTCCCAGGCGTTGTCACATTCCTCATTTGTGTCCTCCTTCAGCGGTTTCCTATCCAGTTGCTTGCGGCAGATCCCGCCACCGAGCCCGTGCAGCAGCGCAGCAGGAAGGAGGCTGCGTGCAGGAACAGCGCAATTCCGACGATTGGTCTGATATGGGACGACTCATGAATCCGACCTCGTCTCCGTCCGCGCGGAAGGAAGATTGTCGAGTTTTCGCCCCGCGGCAATTCAGCGATTGGTCTGAATTCTTCACGCTTCGCGTATCCCCTACCAACCTTGTAATTCAGGCCATTGCTAGTCGGCAGTTCCCTGACGGCGCCTGGCACCCCTGCGCGCTCGCGAACAACAAGAGATATCCCCACCAGCCCCTTCAGAAACCCTGCCCACGAGAGCTGACGGGAAGAGGGACGAAGGAACACATCTAATTAGGGAAGCAAGGCGACCAACCAGGATGAGCCGAGAGATCTCTGAGAGCGAGGGGGTGGCCTTGGAAGGCTTGGTTTCTAAACGTTCTTGCGTGGCCTCGAGGAGCCTCTCAGAACGGAGGCCCATGCTCTCCGCGGCCACCTGCGGCTCAAGGAGTTCTGGCGAGGGGAATGGACTGGGCCCTCGGCCTGCTCCACGCCGCGGCCCCGCTTGCGCCATACCTGCTGCCGCCGCGTTGCCCAGCGTGCAACTGCGTTGCGGACTGCTCCGTGCCCTCCGAGATCGTCGGGCTGCTGGGGAGGCAGCTCGACCGCTGTGGGCCGGAGCAGTTGACCTGCCCGGTCTGCCCAGGCTGTCCCGAACTGCGCTGCCCCACACCGGGGCCGGCGTACGGGGCCTTCGCCGCGGGCGCGGCGTTCGGGGTCCTGGCGGCGGCGCTGGCCGGGGCGGTCTGGAGGCTGTGCTGGCCGCCGAGGGCGACGGCACCGGGGCTGCGTGCGGGACAGCCCGACAGTGGAGGACGACGCGCCGGTCTTGGCGCTGCACGGGGCTGCCGGTGACGACGGCGACGACGGGAGGCCAGCAGCGACACCAGCTTCGCTGCGGGCCAGGCGCGCGTGATGACGCGGAGCCTCGACATCCCGGAGCCCCAGGTCGCCGTGGACTTCTTCGACGACCCGAACGGGTTCAACTTCCACGTGCGGGTCCTCCCCGTGCCGGCGGGCGCCGGCAAGTGGATCTGGGTGACCCCCGACCACAGCGTGCAGTTCGGGGACCTCACGGCGCACCGCGTGGTGCATCTGCCGCGGAACGCTCCGTTCCCTCGGCGGCTGGCGGGACAGGTGTACGCCTTCGACCCGTTCGAGGAGGGGGAGCTCGAGGGCATCAGGGAGCAGGCGGTGGCCCTGGCGACGGCGCTGGGCATCGACGTGCCGCGTGGAGCGGCAGGGGCTCCGCCTCGCTGGGTGGTCGCGGACCCTGCCCACCCGCAGTTCGGGACGGTCCTCGACGCAGCGATCAGCGGCGCCGACGACCGCTTCGCGCGCGGGGGGGCGGCGGCGCTGGCGATGCTGGACAACGACGATGGCGAGGAGATCTTCACAGCGCGCGAGAATGTGCCGGAGAAGCGGCACCAGCAGTGGCTCGACGAGAAGCACTCAGGGCCTGGTCGGGATCCTCTGGCGCGCCTGGTCCGACGGATCGGGGTAGGCGGGCCGCGTCGGGCCACGCTCGACCAGGCCATGGAGGCCCACCGCCCACAGGAGGGCCGAGGCGCTGCCCGAGTTCTCGGCCAGCGCGCGGGCGTCGGGTCTCGGGATCGCGGGCTACGCTGGGCACTACATCGCGAACAGTGGGATCCCTCCTGGCAGCGCGGCGCCCCACGAGATCCGGCTCCTGCTCGAGGCGCTGCGCCATTTCATCGAGCACGACCAGGTCGACGTCACGAACCTTGCGGGGGCCGAGCTGGTCGCCAGGAGGGTCGCCCAGATGCAGCGGGCCATCCGCCGCGACTCGAAGCATCCGAACTACGTCGGGCTGGAGGATATGCTGGCCTCAGCGCTCGACGAGACGGGCGGCGTGGTCACCGGCAAGTTCGACGAGTGGGTGGCCCAGGAGCAGAAGACGAAGGCGGCGATCATGAAGAACACGAGGATCTACGCGGAGGAGCGGGATGCCGAAGCCAAGCGGACAGCTGGCGGAAGCAACCGCGGAGGAAGAGGGAAGTGACCCAGAGCGGGAGTTCCCGCTCTGTCCGTCCTCCGCCCCGGAGGCAGCCCCGCCGGGCCGCTCGCCGACGTGCCAGGCGGGGCTGGGCGTGGAGGGCGACCGAGGACATCCTCTCGAGCCTGAACGCGCCTGACTCCCATCGCAGGAGTCCGTGGTAGACCGTGGGTTTCGTTCGGTTGCTCGGCATGGCCGGCCGCTGGCGGACCTCCGGTCCAGGAGATTCTCAAGTCCAGCGACATCTACTCCGAGGAGGGTCGGCTCACCATTCGGCCCTTCGACCAGGACATGGTTTCCCTCTTGCAGGGCTCCGTGGAGCCTCGGGGGGCGCTCGACTTCGCCCCCGATCACGCTCGACAAGTATTGATGGAGCCGAGCCAGTTCCTGGAGCGCCACTCCGACGAGCTGGCGGACGAGCCCCATGTCGAGCCGCACTGGGACCCCCTCCTGAACCCGAGGGTCCGGGCCAATCGCCCACGCCTGCTGGCGCTGCTCCGCCGCCTGGCCGACATGGGGATCGCGATTGCCCCCCGGCGGAAGAAGGCGACCGTGGGTCCGTTTTTCGTCGAGAAGAAGGGGGGCCGTCTCCGCGTGATCGTAGACGGTCGGCAGCCCAAGCAGTTTCATCGGTTCCCCCCCAGACCAGCACGGCGTCGGTCGAGGCCCCCGCAGCAGTGAGAGTGGGGACCGACTGGCGGCAGCGCTGTACGGTGAGCTCGGGCGAGGCCGCCCCGTACGCGGCTACGGTCGACTTGAAGGGCGGCTTCCACCAGCTCAGGACCCCGCACCTGTCCGAGTGGTTCGTGTTCGATCGTGCCCAGCGTCCGCGCGATGGACCTCGGCGTGCAGCAGGTCTACGACGGCGACGTCGGGTCCTTCGTCAGCGTGGCCCCGGAGGACTACGTGTGGCGGCCCGCCTACGGCGGGCTGGCGATGGGTTGATCTTGGGCTCTTTGGATCTGCCACGAGACGCTCGCACATGCGATGAAGATTTTGGCGGGCCCGAGCGACGCCACGGTGCTAGACAAGGCTCCAGCGGCACGCTTGCGGCCCGGCATGGCGGGCGACCTCCCGTGCGTGGACAACGCCAACGTCATCGGGCTCGAGCGCGAGGTCGCACAGGCCCGGCTCGACCGCGCGACGGTGGCCCTCGACCTGCTCGGGCTGATGTGGGTCGAGGTGGAGATCCCGGGTGTCATCGTGGACGGCGCGCAGGGCCTGGTGCGGCCCAGGCCGAAGCGGCTGTGGCGACTGTACAGTGGCGTGACCTCGTGGCGGAAGGCCCCGGGCTGGCAGGTGCGCGCGATCCTGGGCCACCTAGGTGTCTTTCTTCCAGCTGCTCAGGCCCGGGCTCTCAGTCTCCCGTGTCCTCTACGACTTCGTCCAGGAGGACCTCGGAGAGGTCCGCGAGCTGCCGACGGCGGCGCTGCAGGAGTTGCGAATAGCCCGGTCGATCCTCTTCATGGCCGCCGGCCGCTGGGAGTTGCCAGCCTGCCCCGTCGCGTTCGTGACGGGCGCCCCCATGACATCTCGGCGGACGAGGTTCACAATCTCAGCCGCTTCCGGGGGCGGGCCAGGTTCAGCAGGCGAGAGAAGTTCGTGGAGCGGGGGCACGACGGCTTCCGGGGCTCGCTCGCGATCGGCGACGCTGGCGAGGGTCGGTGGGGCGGCATGCTCGAGAGAGCCAGGCCGCGCGGCCCAGTGCCGGAGCGGTGTCGGGTCGAGGTCGAATTGGGGTGGCGGCCGCCGCCTTTGCCCGACGACTTCGTGGGCCCGAAGCGCTGGGGGCCGGTCGTAGCCGGCGCCTGGCGCGACGCCAGCCGCAACCACGACTACGAGGCGCGCTGCGGACTGGGCCTGGCGCGGGCGGCCAGCTACGCCCCGTGCCACGACGCGGAGCTGCTCTCGGCCGAGGACAACCTGGGCTCCATCCTGGCCTTCGAGAAGGGCTGGGCGGCGAACAAGGAGCTCCTCGCCCAGTGCTGGCGGGCGGCCGCGTTGCAGCTGGCCTCCGGCATCGTGCGGCGGCAGCGCCACGTCGAGGGCGCGCGGAACGCAGCAGACTACATGGGCCGCGCCGCGAACCGCGGTCTGCTGCAGCCCGGCCAGGTCTGGCGCGGGCCTCGGGGACGGCTGCCGACCGGCCGCCCCCCGGATCGGCGCCCAGCTCGGGGCGCAACCATCGTTGTAAAAAAAGGGTTTTCCAGCTCAGCTCGAGCCCGAGCGAGATCAAGACAGGCTCAGCCACAAGTCCCTGCTCAGCCTCATCAAGGGCTCCATGGGGACCAGGTGGGCAGCACGCGTGGAAGCGACCCCCAGGGCCGTCATCCTCAACTTCAGGGTCAAGTTCGTCTTGGGTTCCGCCCACCACCAGGCCTGGACCCCCCTCCTGCTCTCGTGCATCCTGGAGGTCCAGTGGGTCAGAGGCCTCGACGGGGCCGACGTTTCTTCTTGGAGATCTTCTCGGGCGAGGGGTGCATGGCGGGGGCCATCCTGGAGGCGGGGCTCCGCGTGGGGATCCCCATGGACCTCCAGAAGGGCTCGCACTTCGACGTCACGGACCCCCAGGTCCAGAAGGTCATCATCAGGTGGATCCCCTCCGGTGCCGTTTGGCTCATGCACCTCGCGACCCCGTGCACGCGGTGGTCTGTTGCGCGGTCCTCTGGCACTACAGAACCCGCGGGGGGCCTGGCCGCGGCGCGATTCACGGCGCGCCTGATCCAGGAGCGCCGGCGGGCCGGAGTCCACTTCGCGCTCGGGAACCCTCAGCGGTCGCGTCTCTGGACGTGGGGGCCCTTGGCGAGAGCACTCAGGCCAGCTTGGGCGATCCTCGTCAACTTGTGCCAGTGCCGCTTCGGGGCGCCCGTCCAGAAGCCGACCAGGTTTGCCGCGTCCCTCCCCTTGTTCGCCACGCTGCACCGCAAGTGCAAGTGCCGACGCCGCTGCGAGGTGCTGCAGGGGGGAGTGTTCGTGAGGGGCCGCTGGGAGTGGAAGACGAGCTTGGCTGCTGCGCATCCGCCGGGCCTGCGCCGCGCCTACGCCGGCGTCGCCCAGCACCTGGCGCCCGCGCCGGCCGCCTGGCCCGACGGAGAGGCCGAGCTCGAGCGCCGTTGGGAGCGCCAGCTGGCAGCCGCGCGCGGCTGCAGTACCGCTAGAGTCGGCCCCCCGCGCTGCCCGCTCAGGCACCGACTGCCCTGGCGGGGCTGCCAGAGGCGCTGGGAATAAGGCGGGGCGCCGCGGCAGACAGGCGCGGGCCGAGCCGCGGGAGCAGGCGCCGGGCTTCTTGCGGCGCTCCGCCGTGCGGTCGGCGACGGCGGCCCGCTACTCGAGCTGCATGCAGGAGCTCGACCAGATCGTCGCGGACAACGTCGGGGGCCTCTCGAATCCGCGCGCCGCGGACGCCACCCTGGAGCGCTACTTCGAGTCGCTCTTCCTCGGCGGCGAGGCCAAGGCCAATGCCCGCTGGCGCCTCTACGGACTGGCCTGGCAGCGCGGCTGGGCCACCAAGGGCGGCGCCTTCCCACGGGCCAAGCAGGCCCTCAAGGGATGGGGCCGCCTGCAGCCGCCGGGCAGCCGGGAGCCAGCCGTCTGGGAAGCGGTGCCGGCGGTGGCGGACGACCTCATCGGCCGAGACCAGTCGACGCTGGCGGGCGCGCTGCGGCTGGTGGCCTTCGACGGCTACCTCCGGCCGTCCGAGGCGCTGGGCCTTCGCGGCGCCGACGCCCTACGGCCCGCGCGATCCGGCCCCCAGAGGCTGCGGGCGGTCGCCGCGGCGCCGGCGACGCAGCCCATCCCGTCCACGACCACCACCTTCGACGACACTGTCTTCTTCGGAAGCGTCGCCAAGGGCCAGGCCTACGTGGGCGACATCCTGAGCATCTTGATGTCCCGCGCGGGCCAGGATAAGTTGTTCGACGGTCTCGCGCTTGCCAGGCTCGAGGCGGTCGTGAAGACGGCCTGCCGACGCCTGCAGTTGCCCGTGACCTTCACGCCACATTGCTTGCGGCATGGAGGTGCCAGCCAGGGCGCGCTTGAGAAGTTCGAGGATCTTCGCTCGATCCAGCGCCGAGGCCGCTGGAAAGCTCGAGAGTCCGTCCGTGGGTACGAGAAGGTGGGCACCCTGCTGCGAGTGAGATCTAAGTATGCACAGTCTTTCCTGGCGCGTAGCCTCTGTCTGGGGCCCTCTCCCCCGAGCAAGCTGCGAGCTGCTTGGCGCAAGTTCGGGCGCCCAGCGTAATCGAGCCCTCAAGTTTGTCATATCTTCTTTGATTTTTAATGCAGGCAGTCGTGCTTCGCCCCTCCCGACCCACCCTCGACAGGCCTGCCATGTCACCAAGTATGGGTGCTTGTTGTTATGGGGTTGGCAAAGGCTCAGGGTGCGGTGCAGCTGCTGGCACTAGTCTTCAAAGCACCTGTTCGGAGGGCGCAGCCCGCCGCTCTGGAAAAGTGATCGTATCGTCTTGCTCCTGTCCCTCCCTGTCCTTCTTGTTTCCTATCTCTTGGCCTAAAGGTATGAGAGGCACTGGGCGGGCCAAGCGCGCTTGGTTTCTAAACGTTCTTGCGTGGACTCGAGGAGCCTTTCAGAGCGGAGGCCCATGCTCTCCGCGGCCACCTGCGGCTCAAAGGAGTTCTGGCGCCCACCGTCCCTGCCCTTGGGGTTGGCAGAGACTCAGGGTGCGGTGCAGCTGCTGGCACTAGTCTCCAAAACACCTGCTCGGAGGGCGCAGCCCGCCGCTCTGGAAAAGTGATCGTCTCGTCTTGCTCCTGTCCCTCCCTGTCCTTTTTGTTTCCTATCTCTTGGCCTAAAGGTGTGAGAGGCACTGGGCGGGCCAAGCGCGCTTGGTTTCTAAACGTTTTTGCGTGGCCTCGAGGAGCCTCTCAGAGCGGAGGCCCATGCTTTCCGCGGCCACCTGCGGCTCAAAGGAGTTTTGGCGCCCACCGTCCCTGCCCTTGGGGTTGGCAGAGACTCAGGGTGCGGTGCAGCTGCTGGCACTAGTCTCCAAAACACCTGTTCGGAGGGCGCAGCCCGCCGCTCTGGAAAAGTGATCGTCTCGTCTTGCTCCTGTCCCTCCCTGTCCTTCTTGTTTCCTATCTCTTGGCCTAAAGGTGTGAGAGGCACTGGACGGGCCAAGCAGGCCTCTTCGGGCCATCCCTGGGGGTCGCGCGGGGGCGAGGGACAGCGGACGAGGAGGAGGGGGAGGAGGAGGAGGAGGAGGAGGAGGAGGAGGAGGAGGAGGAGGAGGAGGAGGCCTCGTGGGCGTTTCCTGGGGCACTCGTGGGGCCTCCTGGGAGTTTCCTGGGGGCCTCTCGGTGGGTTTTTTGGGGCCTCTTCGGCAGTCTTAGGGCGTTCCTGGACGCCGTAGGAAGCCGTCTCGGGTGCCTGTCTGGATCCTCTTAGGGCCCTCTTGGGGCAGATCAGGGGTTCTCCAAGGCCATCTTGGGCGTCTTGGATGCATCTTGGGCAGTTTCGGGGCCCTCTTGGGGCCGTCTTGGGAGCCTTTGGGGCCGCCGTGGAGCCGTCTTGGAGGCCTCTTGGGCGATCTTGGGGGCCTCTTGCGCCGTCTTGAGCCGTCGGAATGCCGAGAAGAAGCAATGCCACAATTTGTCAAAACAACCTTAGGACAATCAAGGAGTTTGGCCTCTTCGTGCCCTCCTGGAAGACCTCCTGGACGCCTTTTGGGCCGTCTTGGAGGCCTCTTGGGGGCCTCTTAGGCCGTCTTGCGCCATCTTGAAGCCATGTTAGGCCGTCCTGGGTGCATCTTGGGCCGTATTGGAGGCATCCTGGGGCCATCTTAGCCGTCTTGGAGGCCATTTTGGCAGTTTTGGAGGCCTTGGGCCCTCTTAGGGCCGTCTTGGGAGCATCTTGGGCCGTCATGGGGCCATATTGGGGGCCTCGTGGGCAATCTTTGGGGCCTCCTTGGGCCGTCTTGAGCCGTCGGAATGCCGACAAGAAGCAAATGCCACAATCTTTCAAACACCTAAGGATCATCAATGATTTTGGGATCTTCGGGCCCTCCAGTGGTTGTGTTTGCATGGCACCGCCGCACCCAGTCTTGCACCCCTCGCACGTTTCGACACAGGGAGCTCGACCAGAGGCCACAACGGCTGCGCTCGCATGGCACCACCGCGCCCAGTTCGGCACAGCATTCACACGCTTCGTGGCCCCGTAGGGAGTTCCACCGAAGGTCCCAATGGCTGCGCTCGCGTGGCACCACCGCGCCCACTTCGGCACACACCTCACAGGTTTCATGGCCCCATAGGGCGCTCCACCGAAGGCCCCGAGTTGCATGGCACCACCGCGCCTGTTTCGGCACACCCCTCACGCGCTTCGTGGCCCCATGGGGAGCTCCACCGAGGGCCCCAGTGGCTGCGCTCGCATGGCGCCATCGCGCCAATTCTGGACACCATTCACATGTTTCGTGGCCCCATGGGGAGCTCCACCGAGAGCCCCAGTGGCTGCGTTCGCATGGCACCGCCGACACATTTCGGCGCGCACGTCACACGTTTCGTGGCCCCGTAGGGAGTTTCACCGAGGGCCCTTGTGATTGCGCTTGCATGGCGCCACCGCACCCATTCCGGCACACCCCTCACACGTTTCGTGGCCACACAGGGAACTCCACCGAGGGCCCCAAAGGCTGCGCTTGCATGGCACCACCGCGCCTGTTCCGGCACACCCCTCACATGTGTCCACCTCATTGGCAGCGCCCGCATGGCACCACCGTTCTCAATTCGGCACACCCATCACACGTTTCGTGGCGCACAAGATAGCGCTACCTCCGTTTCGGCACACCCCTTTCACGTTTCGTGCCCCCGTGGGGAGCTCCACCGAAGGCCCCAGGTAATTTTGTTGTCGCGGCCAGGGTGCTCTTCTACATGAGACAGACCGTCAGCCCTCACAGCGGGGATCGAGGCCAAGGTGGCAGAATTCGTTCACATCCCGACCTTTCCCGAGGCCTTGGCCTCACTTGGTTCTTGCCCGGTCTGTGGGGTCCTCAGCTGCGAAGACCATTCAGCGCTCCAGGCGATCTTCCAAAGTTCTGGTCGCCGTGCATGATGATCCCCATGTTCTATAGTTTGGCACCGCTCGGACGTGCGCATGCTTTCTGTGACGAACGAACAACACGCACCCATACCCATAGGTGGGACGGAGGGGGCTATGCGTGCGTGTTGTCGGATGGGGGTCCCCGCTCGAAAAGAAGCACCCCCCAGGATCCGACAACCCGCACCCATACCCATAGCCAGTCCTCCTCCCAACCTTCCCCCTATGGGTATGAGTGTGTGTTGCTCGTTCGTCATTCTGCGAGGACGATCGAGGAGCATCTTGGATCATCCTACGACTATCCACCCGCGAAAGCAGATCTTCCAAGGGGAACGGACGCCCGAGCGATGGCCAGACAGCAGGACCGGCCCTGGGCCGATGGGGCGTCGCTTTTGCGATGCCACCCCTTCGATGCTCGTTTTGGGGACCTTCTTGGGGCCCACCTGATGGATCTCTTCGACTCAGGTTCGACTCAAGTTCGACTCAGGTTCGACTCAGGTTCGACTCAGGTTCGACTCAGGTTCGACTCAGGTTCGACTCAGGTTCGACGCAGCTTCGACGCACGAGTGGAGCGAGTGGCTCCAGGAAGGTCCCCAGAATGAGCATCTAACACTCCGGAGTTGGTCATTTTCACTCCACCCTCTGGAGGTGTTTTTTGGCGGCCACTCGGCAGACCACCCGCGCGCAGGCGCGGCATCCGGCAGGGCTGGGACGAGGATGAAAATATGCTCCAGGGCGTTCCGGACCCCCCTCAGAGCGTTCCGGCACACTCTGAGAAGGCAGCGGCTTGGAGGGCGCGTAATCGGGGGGCGATGAATTGGGGGGCAGCGAGGGCTGCAGAAAACGGGTTCTTCGGGGTCCCGAAAGGGGCCCTTCAGGGCCCCAGAGGGCGCCCGTGGGTCCCGGAGAGGGCACCTTTCTTCCCCTCCATTCACCGCCCCCCGTTGATTCGCGCCCGATCCGGAACGCTCTGAGAAGGCCGCGGCGCCCGAGACATCCTCGCGAGCCGCGGGATCTCAGAGATCTTCGTTTTCGTCCTCGTCCTAGGTTCGTCTCATTTCAGGTTGCTGGGCCGACTTGCCGCCTGCGGACAGCATTTTTTTTGAGGCAGGCACTTAGCCGTCTGTCTGGACGAGAAGAACGCCGCCTCAAAGACGCTGTAACGCTACATCACAGACCGTATAGCCAGCCCAGGAGAGACGTCGCTCGAGCTATCCAGGAGATACCGACAATCAGGCTTAACTATGGGGGCGAAGCAGACGACAACCATGAAGTACACCAAAACATCCGATTCTGATCTTGATTGTATCATGATGCGCCAGCACGTCCAAGACGATACCCAGCGACGATACCCAGTTGAATTGACTCGATCAGGGAAGCGCATGTTGTCACAGCGACGCAACAAGTGGGGAGGTCCGCAGTCAGACCAAGAGCTCAGGAGCGGCCTGCGCAGACCCGGGAGTCCACCAGACAGGCCTCCGCGGACCTGTCGCTCTGGGGGGGTCGCCGGGAGGGCCCCCGGAGCCGCCGGGGGGAGGGGCGGTCTTTGGGCCAGGCCGGGAGCCTCGCTGGGGCCCTCTTGGTGCCGCACTGGGCACGCGGGGGGGGGGCGTCTGGGAGGCCACTGCGCCACGAGGAGGGCGGCCGGAAGGGAGCCCGCAGGGCGGGAGCCTCCGCGGCCCCCGCCCCCCACGCGGAGACGGGCACGCACGTCTCGCAGCCGGCGCTGGGGCAAAGGCTTCCCGGAGCGAGCTCCGCAGGAGGAGGGCCCCAAACGGACAGTGCTGCCCGCGTCGCCCTTTTGGCAGCAGCGGGTGGGGAGATGAACGATCCAGAGGGGGGGGGAGGGGAAGCAGAAGAGAGGAGGAGAGGAGGAGGAGGAGGAGGAGGAGGAGGGGAGGAGGAGGAGGAGGAGGAGGAGAGGAGGAGGAGGAGGAGGAGGAGGAGGAGGAGGGGAGGAGGAGGTGGAGGAGGAGGAGGAGGAGGAGGAGGAGGAGGAGGAGGAGGAGGAGGAGGAGGAGGAGGAGGAGGAGGAGGAGGAGGAGGAGGAGGAGGAGGAGGAGGAGGAGGAGGAGGAGGAGGAGGAGGAGGAGGAGGAGGAGGAGAGGAGGAGGAGGAGGAGGAGGAGGAGGAGGAGGAGGAGGAGGAGGAGGAGGAGGAGGAGGAGGAGGAGGAGGAGGGAGGAGGAGGAGGAGGAGGAGGAGGAGGAGGAGGGGAGGAGGAGGGAGGAGGAGGAGAGGAGGAGGAGAGGAGGAGGAGGAGGAGGAGGAGGAGGAGGAGGAGGAGGAGGAGGAGGAGGAGGAGGAGGAGGAGGAGGAGGAGGTTTGGTAATCCGAGCGCGTCGCCGATGCTCAGGTGTCTTGAAACTGGGGCCTCTGTGCTCCTCTCTCGGACCCATCTTGGCGTCTCTTCGGGGTTCGAGAGCTGCTTGAACATGGATTGAGGCTCGTCTTGGGGCGTCCTCGGGCGTTTGAGGCTCGTCTGTGTGTGTTGTGTTGTGTTGTGTTGTGTTGTGTTGTGTTGTGTTGTGTTGTGTTGTGTTGTGTTGTGTTGTGGTGTGGTGTGGTGTGGTGTGGTGTGGTGTGGTGTGGTGTGGTGTGGTGTGGTGTGGTGTGGTGTGGTGTGGTGTGGTGTGGTGTGGTGTGGTGTGGTGTGTTGTTGTGTGTGGTGTGTGGTGTGTGGTGTGTGGTCTGTGGTCTGTGGTCTGTGGTCTGTGGTGTGTGGTGTGTGATGTGTGGTGTGTGGTGTGTGGTGTGTGGTGTGTGGTGTATGTGTGTGGTGTGTGGTGTATGTGTGTGGTGTGTGTGTGTGTGTGGTGTGTGTGTGTGTGTGTGTGTGGTGTGTGGTGTGTGGTGTGTGGTGTGTGGTGTGTGGTGTGTGGTGTGTGGTGTGTGGTGTGTGGTGCGTGTGGTGTGTGTGTGGTGTGTGGTGTGTGTGGTGTGTGGTGTGTGGTGTGTGGTGTGTGGTGCGTGTGTGTGTGTGTGTGTGGGTGGGGGGGGGAGGGGGGGGGCCTGTGGCCCTCTTGGGCGGTCCTGGGTCGCTTTCGGGAGCCTTCTGGGCCGCCCTGGACGACCTGGCGACCGAACGTACCAGTATGCGAACGTCATACCGGAGACTGAGGAACATATGCGCTTTGGGTGTTTTGGAAGCCTCCTGTGGCTCTCTGGGAACGATTCGAGAGACTCGTTGGACCTCTTGGAGCATCCTTTGGTTGTTTTGGCCGCCTTGGGAGTCTCCTGGCGACGTCTTGGTGCCCTCGTGGGCACTCTTTGTGTGGCTGGAGCCCCTTCGGAGACCTCCTCTGGGCGGGCGCCCTGAGAGGCCTCTCTTGGGGTGTCTCGTGGCCTGCTTGGGCCGTGCCTTAGAGCCATCGGCTGACGTGTTTGGCATAGCTTAGCCGTCTGGGGGGGGTCATCCTGGCGGTGTCTCGGTGGCCTCGCAAGCCGTCTTCGGCCGAGTGGATGGCATTGCTTCGCATTGCATTGCATAACATTGCGTTGCTTCACATTTGTTTGCATCGCATTGCATTTCTTTGCATCGCGTTGCACTGATGCGCATTGCGTTGCGTTGCGATGCGTCGCGTAGGAGTGCGTTGCAGTGTATTACATCGCGTTGCACTACGTTGCGTTGTGCTCATGTGCCTTGCACTGGGGTGCACTGCGCCACAGCGTTTTGCATCGTGTCGCTTTGCGTGGCGTGGCGTTGCCATCGCATGCCTTTGCGCTGCAGTGCTCTGCACGGGTTTGCATTGCGTTGCATGGCTGTGCAGTGCTTGTCATGTGTTTGTATCGCCTTGCGCTGTGTTGCTTTACCATGATCTGCATTGGTTTGCATTGCGTTGCGTTGCTGCGCATGGCGCTGCATTGCTGTGCCGTGCGTTGCATGCCATTGCTTGGTATTGCTCTGCATTGCTATGCAAACGCATTGCAGTGCATGGTCCTGCATTGCCTTGAACTGGTTTGACATTGCTCTGCAAACGCATTGCAAACGCAGTACATTATTTCGCAAACGCATTGCGCCACATATCGTGCACCACATTGCACCACATTGATTGCATCGCAATAATTGCACCACCTATATTGTGCCGCATAGATGGCAGAAAATCATTGGTTGGGGTCCACGCTGGCTAAGATAATGCATACTCGATCATGTCAGTGCTCGACTAGATTACCACATGCCGTACCAGACCAGGTATTTTCACGTGTCCCCGTTCACGATGAAAGATGAAGCACTATACAACCCGGCGCCAGACTAGAACACACAATGACACACGAACATTGCATACTATGCGATGGTATCCTGCACAGTTGACACTTTAGGTGTATCCGTCAACTGGCCCATGTGTCAGGCTCTTCACATTCTTGGGCTGCAGGGGTGTACCGTTTTCTGGCGCTCTCATTTGTGAGCATCAGAACATTAGAGAGTATGGGTACGAGTGTGTCTGGGTATGCATGACTGAACAGAGCGCCAAGAAGGTACCGCCAGAGGCCCCATCAGAGCTCCAGGCCGCCCCATACATGGGACTTGCCAGGCTAATCATTGAGCATCCCCCGTGAGCCCGAACCTTCTGATCCCACGGGCGCGATGATCGCCAGCATGCGGTTTGGTGTTCAGCACAAAGAAGCTCCCCCATTCCTGTGGTCGGCAGCACCTGATTGCAGAGAAGGGCACTGATGACCGGGATATCTGCGCGCGCCTTCTGCAGATACCCGACACATGAGCGATTGCTAAAACGAGAAGCCTGGAGCACAGGGAAGAGGAAGCAAAAACAACGCGCTCCCACGCGCGCACAACGAGGCCCCGAGCCAACCCCAACATCAGGAACCGGCGGATGTCTGCGTGATAAGGCACGGGGAGACCGAACAGATGTGCAGAAACATTGAGTGTCGCGACGGGGCAGAGCGGAATGAAAGTGGAGGAACAAACGCAGTTCGATAAGCCAAACAAAGGCGGCAACGAGATTGTGAAATACGCGGGAACGTGGCGCCCCCCGAGAACGCTGGGAATCGTCGTTGTGGCCACGGCGGGGCTTACAGCGGCTTCCGTGGCGAACCTGCGACTAGAATTTATGCGCGCGCGTGGCTCTAGTGTATATATACATACACTTTTAAGAGTGAGGGCGCCGAACGGTCATTCATTGTCCCTGGGTGCGTGGCTGAAGTGGGGATCCGTGGTTGGGATAATGTTTGTTATTGTTGTTTTTGCTGGTGTTAATGGTGGTGTTGTTGTCGCTGATGTTGTTGTTGATGTTGTTGCTGTTGATATTGTTGTTGAGCTTTCATTTCTTTTGGATAGTTATTGTTGATCCCCCCGGTGCACATTTCTTTTTCGATTGAAATGCCCTTCCCGGGGCTCGCGCCTTGTTTGTTTATCAGGGAAATCTTGAGGGTCAAACTGTGTCGTTGGCCCCCGGTTTACAGCAACAGCGGCTCCCGCCTGAGACTTGTCACAATTTAGCCAGGACCCCCGCTCCCGCCCGAGAATTATTCGCGTCTTATTCCGGAGTCGCGCTTTCGCTTGGGGTTTCCTTGGAATGTATTATCCCGGCGCTTTGGAGTCGCGCTCTCGCTGGAGACTTGCTTGCAATTCACTAAAGAATAGCGCCCTTGCGCTGGAGTCTCCTGCAATGTATTCAAGCGCCGCGCTCCGACGCCCAGGCGCCCAGGAGTCGCGCTCACGCTCAGGACTCCCTCGCAGATGACATAGAAATCTCGCTGCCCTTCGTGGCCCCGCTGCCGCCCTTCGCGGCCCCCTCGCTTTGTTCCGTGGCCCCGTTGCAGCCCTTCGTGGCCCCCTCGCTGCCCTTCGTGGCCCCGTTGCAGCCGTTCGCGGCCTCCTCGCTGCCCTTTGTGGCCCCGTTGCAGTCATTCGTTGCCCCCTCGCTTTGTTTCGTGGCCCCGTTGTAGCCCTTCGTGGCCCCCTCGCTGCCCTTGGTGGCCCCGTCGCAGCCCTTCGTGGCCCAATTGCAGCCCTTCGTGGCCCCCTCGCTGCCCTTGGTGGCCCCGTTGCATCCCGTCGTGGCCCCCTCGCTGCCCTTCGAGGCCCCATATATGTATGCCCTTCGTGGCCCCCGCTCGTTCGCGCCCGTGGTGGCCCCATATGCATATGTCCTACGTTGCCCAGTTGCTATCCTCAGTGGCCCCATCGTTGCCTTCTGTGGCCCCGTATTGTCTGCCCTTCGTGGCCCCCGCTCGTTCGCGCTCTTCGTGGCCCCATACGCATTCCCTTCGTGTCCCCGCTGTTGCCCTTCGTGGCCTACTTCGTGTCCTTGTGGCCCTGCTGTCGTTCTCTTTCGCTCTCGCTTTCGCTCGTCGCCGTCATCGTCGACGTCGTCGTCGCCGTCGTCGTCGACGTCGTCGTTGTCGTCGTGGTCGGTGCCCTGTCCGTCCCTCTTGGGGTCGGGTCGACGGTCCGCGGCCGCCCCGCCGATCAGCGCTGCCGCTGGCCAGGCCCACGGTCCGCGGCCGCCCCGCCGCTTGCCGGGTCCCAGCCTGCGGGGAATAAAGACATACCCCCCAAAGTGGTTCGATCGAAGACGAAAAGGGCGGGCATCGAGGGTTTAGGAAATAGGCGTTATCGGACACTCGAGCAGACAAGGGCGAACAGTCTTAATATGATAGTTGTTGTTGTGTTTGTTGTTGGTGCTGTTGTTGGTGTTGCCATAGTTGTTGTTGCTGCTGTTGCTGTTGCTGTTATTGTTATTGTTGTCGTTGTTGTTGTTGTTATTGTTGGTGATGTCGTTGTCGTTGTCGTTGTCGTTGTTGCGATTGCTGTTGCTGTTTTTGTTGTTGTTGTTGTTGCCGTTGCTGTTGCGGTTGCGGTTGCGGTTGCGGTTGCTGTTGTTGTTAGTGTTGTTGTTGTTGTTGTTGTTGTTGTTGTTGTTGTGGTGGTTGTTGTTGTTGTTGTTGTTACTGTTACTGTTACTGCTACTCTTACTGTTACTGTTACTGCTGGTGTTGTTGTTATTGTTGTTGTTTGGGTTGTTGTTATCGTCGTCCCACCCGCGACCCACCCCGCGACCCATTCCGCGACCCACCCGGCGACCCACCCCGAGACCCACCCCACGATCCACCTGCGACCCACCCGGCGACCCAACCCGCGACCCACCCCGCGACCCACCCCGCGACCCACACCGTGACCAACCCCGCGACCCACCCGCGACCCACCTGCGACCCACCCCGCAACCAACCCGCGACCCACCCGCGACCCATCCGCGACCCACCGGCGACCAACCCACGACCCACCTGCTACCCACCCCGCGACCCACCCCGCGACCCACCCGCGACCCACCCGCGACCCAACAGCGACCCACCCGCGACCCACCCGCGACCCACCAATGACCCATCCGCGACCTACCCACATTGGTTTAACGAAAAAATTGGCACTTGCGGCCGGTTCGTTGTATAATTTGTAGAATTGTGGCGCCTGCGGCGGGCTTCTCCGCAGACTCGCAAACCACCGCCCCTTATCCGCATCTGCGGGGTGCTACGGTAGAAAATACGTAGCACCCCGCAAGTGCGGATAGGGGGCAGGCGCGGGCGAAGCGGGCGTCGTCGAGCCGGCGGACCTTGTGGCTCTCATTTTCCCTGTCGATGGCGCTCTCCTCATCCTCATCCTCCTCCTCTTCCTCCTCCTCCTCTTCCTCGTCCTCCTCCTCCTCCTCCTCCTCCTCCTCTTCCTCGTCCTCGTCCTCGTCCTTATCGTCATCGTCATCCTCCTCCTCCACCTCGTCGTCCTCCTCCTGTTATTCCTCGTCCTCCCTCTCCCCCCTCTCGTCCTTTCATCATCGTCCTCCCATTGTCGTTCTCCCCCTCATCGGCCTCCATCATCGTCCTCCCATCGTCGTCCATCATCATCCTCCTCCCCCCCCCTCGTCCTCCTCCCCCTCCTCGTCTTCCTGCTCCTCCTCTTCTTTCTCAGCATTATCCTTACATCCTCTCTTCTTCCGCCTCCTCTTCGTCCCCTGTTTACTCCTCCTGCCTCCCCGTCTTTCCCCAAGCTAACTGCAACGCAATCCTTTTTTCCATGTTCTGCTCCCCGACTTCTCTGATCAAGGCGACTCGCCAGGGCAAAGTTGCTGGACGGGCTGGTGTGGATGCGCGGGGCTTGAAGAGGTCCTTGCGGGCTCAGACGGCATGCAAAAATCCGCCGCCACGTTTGTGCGGCATTGGGTCGCGGATGGGTCGCGGATGGGTCGCGGGCTCTCCAACTCCACCTGGGAGGAGTGCAAGAGCAGCCCGCCGCAGGCGCCAAACAAATTGGTTTGTACACTGAACGTGGTTTGGGTCGCGGGCGGGCCGCGGGTTCTCCACCCGGGACGACTGCAAAAGATGCCCGCCGCAGGCGCCGAAAACTTGGTTTGTATTCTGAACGTGGTCGCGGGTGGGCCGCGGGCTCTCCACCTGAAACGAATGCAAAAGATGCCCACCGCAGGCGCCGAAAAATATGGTTTGTACCCTGACCGTGGTTTGGGTGGCGGGTTGGTCGCGAGTTGGTCACGGGTTGGGTCGCGGGCTCCCCACCTGGAAGGAATGCAAAAAAAAACCTCCGCAGGCGCCGAAAATGGTGATTTGTACCTTGAACGCGGTTTGGATCTAAGGTGGGTCGTGGGTGGGTCGCGGGGTTGGTCGTGGGCGGGTCGCGGGTGGGTCGCGGGGCGGTTCGGGTGGGTCGCAACGAGCAACAAACAACAGCAACAACAACAAGAACAACAACAACAACAACAACAACAACAACAGCAACAACAATAATCCGCACCGCGGAATTCCACTTCAACCACGCACCCAGGGACAGTGAATGGCCGTTCGGCCCCCGTACTCTGATAATTTTAATACATGTGTATGTGCGTGTGCGTGTGTATGTGTATGTGTATGTGTATGTGTATGTGTATGTGTATGTGTATGTGTGTAAGTATGAATGCACGCGTGCATGTATGTGTTTATCCAGTTATACATGCATATATATATAAACACGGGAGTGGCGCCTTGTAAGAAATGGCCTATATCGATGCAGCTTCCCCCGCTCCCCCTATATACCCCTTCGTGCGCCGCCAAGGAGGTAGGCACCACGATGGCACGTGATGGTGCAACATGGCCCCCATCACGCCTCGGACAGGTCCGCACGACCGCCCTAAGGTCGCCGTTCGTTATTCATTGTCCCCCGATCGGTGCGGGCCCCACGCCAGACCCCACCCGCTTCCACAAACCAGATCCTGGTTGTTTTTCGGCGACTGGTCAGGACCCCTCCCCCACAGTCTGTTTGCGTGACTGGTGAAAACAGATCGGCGAAACACCGGCCCAGACTCAGACCTTCTTTTCCACCACCCTTCGGCCAAATGTCCAATCCCAACGTCGAAAAAAAAAGGCTTACCAAGAGGACCTGGGGTAGCCACGTGGCCTCCCCGGGATGGCCCAGCGGAGCCAAACAACATCAACAACCTGAGGTTTGGATGGTTCAAAGATCGCCCCACGCAGGCCCCACAGGGGCCCACGAAAGGCCACAGACGGGTCTGGAGAACCCCATGCGGAACCCTCAAAGCACCCGAGGAGGGTTCCACGAGGGCCCCAGGAGAGCTCGAGATCGCGAAAAGGTCAACAGCACCACTGGTACCCTACGCCACCCGCGCCGGCCGCAGGACGGCCCCAAGTGGTCCCATCGGGCTCCAGGAGGCCCCAACCAGAGCCACAGGAAAGCCCCCGACGAGCCCGAACCGACCGAACCGAGCCCTCCCTCGCCCCCCTCCCTCCTTCCTGCCCCGTGCCCTTTCCCAGCCGATGCCCATTTTCCACCGCTGGCAGGGGCGCCGGCTCGGAGCCGCGACTCCGATTCGATTCGGGTCGGGCCGAGCCACCGACGGCGTCGGCCGCGGGCAGCCAGAGCGGGGCACGGCTGGGGCCGTGAGGTTCGGCAGCGCGAGCTGCCTAGAGCCGACGAGCTTAGGGTGTCACTCTTGAGCAAAGCGGCTCGTCGGGGCCCGGGAGGCTCGGAGGCGCGAGCCGCCTGAAGCCTGCGCGAGCTTGCTGCGCCGCCCTTGCCCGTTTTGCATCTGGGAGAAATGTGCACTCGCAGCGAGGAGGAGGAGGAGGAGGAGGAGGAGGAGGAGGAGGAGGAGGAGGAGGAGGAGACGGAGGAGGAGACGGAGGAGGAGGAGGAGGAGGAGGAGGAGGAGGAGGAGGAGGTGGAGGAGGAGGAGGAGAAGGAGGAGGAGGAGGAGGAGGAGGAGGAGGAGGAGGAGGAGGAGGAGGAGGGGGAGGAGGAAGAGGAGGAGGAGGAGGAGGAGGAGGAGGAGGAGGAGGAGGAGGAAGGGGAGGAAGGGGAGGAAGGTCCGTAGCCATTTTGGCTCAAGTCCGGAGTGTTTCGCTCAAGACTGGAGCACTTGGCGTGGGGAGGCGCGCCCCCGCCTGCGAACCTGCGGCCAGTTTCTGGCCTCAGCCCATTTTGTGAGCTCCTGTTGGAGCATTCATATTCTTTCAACATTTCCCTCGTACGGTACCTCCCTGTGTCAGTGCGATGGGCTCTTCTCGTCGCGGCCAGCCTGGGATGCGTGATGCGAAAGGAGACCCTCGCCAGTGGACGTGGGTGGGGAACCAGCCTAAGAGTGGAGGTGCGGAGTTGTCCAAGGCTCCGTGCCCACACTGCGGATGCAAGAATAATCTGTCGCACTACTGGTTTTGCAAGCACTGCCTCGAGCCGCTCGCTTATGTCCAGCCGTCAGCCCATCGTCCCGCAGGTGGCGTCTGGGCCCTACCTCCGCTCGGATCGGTCCCGTCTCACGGAGAGCAGTTCCAGGGGAAAGGCGAGGCGGCGGCTTCGGGGCGCAAGGGAGGCAAGGCAGGCAAGGGCAAAGGAGTTGATCCTGCAGCCTGGCCCAAGCCTGCTGGCCTCCAAGGGCAAGCGGCCGCGGCCCCCACCCTGCAGCCGACCCTGCCGTCGGGGTTGCAGCTACAGGCCTCGGGGTGGGTGGGCCAGGGCGGTGGCCCAAAGGTTGATGCTTGGACTAAGTACTCTAAGGACGACATCCCCAAGCTGCGCCTCATCCAAGATAATTTCCGGAGCTTGGGCGATTCGGCTCAGGCGGTGGTGTATGCTTCTTACATCGACAGGCTGCAGAGAGTGGGCCCGAGGGCCCCCACGGTCGGTGTTTGCCAGCACGCCATGCGCGAGGCCAAGCAGCACTTGGAGAAGCGTGTACGTGTGGCCGAGAATCTCCAATGTCAGCTGGTCCAGGCTCAAAAGGCTGCTGTGCAAGCCATGCGTGAGTTCGAGGTTTGCCAGGACAAGTACCACCAGGCGGTCAAGCCCCTCGCCTCGGAGGTGCCCCAGGCGGAGCCTACAGCAGCTCAGGCGGAGGCGCCGCGCCATGGCCTCAGCCTGGAGAAGTTGTTGGACGGCGATTCTTTCGAGATCTTCGAGGACGACGGGCTATTCGGCTTGGAGGCCGAAGGCGTCGAGGTCACTGACCCCGAGAAGGACGAGGTGGCTAAGCGGAAGCAGGAGGTGGAGCAGACCATCAGGCGTGCGGTCGCCGAGGCATTCGGGGCGGCACGCGCGCGCGCAAGAGCTGGTTGCGGAGCAGAAGGCTTTCAAGCAGCGCATGTTGTCCAAGACACGGCGGGCGGAAGAAGTGTCCAGTGCTGCCCCTTCGGGGGCCGATGCTCCGTCTGCCGATGGTCTCCATGACGATGATGCGCGCGAGGGTGTGGCCGTTGCTAGAGCCGCACCACCTCCACCCCAGGCACCGTCTCAGGAGTCGGTCGCAGCGGCTGCGGAACTGGCACGCCGTGGGGGTCTGGACTCCCCAGTCGACGATGATGTGGAGGACCTGGCCAAGGACTACGCTGCCGCGACCCGCCTGGTGCATGCTGGAGTGTCGGGGCTTTAGCATGGCACGGTCGGGTACTTCGACATCTACATGTGATGCGGCTTGGGCTACCTCGTCGGGGTCGCTACACTCACCCACCATGAGACCACTGAGACACCCCTCGGACGAAACCCTGGGTAGGCCAGTGTCCTATGGGGGCTGGGGCCGCCCAGAGGGGCCCCCAGGGCGTGAATCGGTGCGAGTATGGTGGGCAGAGAGCGCCACATGTTCGGGGTACGACTTGCCTCCCGAATGTTCTTCTTCGAGCTGTTCCTGGGCATGCTCGCGATGGGGGCCAAGCAGTTCAGCTACGGCTCCCATCTCTCGCCCCCGCTACTTGCTGCACGCGGATTCGATAGACCGTTGGTCAGGTACACTGCCCCCGTCAGCGGGGCCCCGTCATGTTTCTCAGTCGCCACAGGCGGGAGTGGCGCATTCCGGTTCTTTCGCCGTGCAGCGGGTCCAACTCCCCGGTGGTCTCCATCTCGCTGGGGACGAAGCAGATCTTGGAGCGGCCCCACGCTGGTTTCCTTCGGCTTCGCGCTGGTGTTGCGCTTCGGCCTCTCCATCATCGGGCTCTTTTTTGTCGTCTTCTGAGGGTCCTCAGGCTGGAGCCTGGGGCCTGGCTCGCGCGCTCGAGTTGCCTGTGTCTGGCGGGGTCCTCAAGGCCAGCGGTAGAGCCCCTGAGGCCCCTGTCCAGGTTAGTGGTCAGACGCGTGGGCCCCCCTCGGCGAGTAGTTACGCTGAGAGGGGCCCCGACTGTGCTGCAGGTCTCACGCGTGTTTGCGAGTCGCCTCAATTTTCTGGCGTGCTTCTCCGAGAGACCCCAGCCCCAGTTGTGCAGTTTCGGATTCCCTTCATAAGTGCTCCCAGGGGAAATCTCGCAGGACCTGGGAGTTCGTGTTGGAGACGTGCAATACCACGTCGTGGTCTTCCCTTCAGGAGTTTCTCGTGAATGAGGCCGAGTCGCCAGTGGTTTTCCTGCAGGAGGTGGCCACGGACGAGGACGCCTAGAAGGCTCGAGAGGACACCATGAAGGCCCACGGTTGGCTGCTGGCTATCAGCCCGTCGGTCGTCACCGATCAAGGGGGATTGTCTGCTGGGGTCGGCATCGCTGTCAGGAAGCACATCGGCATGGGTAAGGCCCCCAACTTGGTTAATGCGCTCCCAAGTCCTCACAGGGTCCTGGCGACGCATATCAATAGTTTCGTTCCTGGAGGCTTTATTGCTGTCAGCCTGCACTTGTGGGATCGGGACCCGCTGGGGCAAGAGGGGGGCCACTTGCTGGCGCGCCTTGGGGAGTACCTATTTGGCGTGGGCATTCCCTTTATTATTGGGGCTGATTGGAACTGCACTCCAGAGGATCTCGAAGCGTCCAACTGGCCTGATAGGCTAGGAGGTGCTCTGGTTACGACGGCGGAGCCCACTTGCAGGTCCACCAGCCACAAGTGGAGGACCATCGATTTCTTTGTGGTCAGCCGTGCTCTCCTCGGGGTCTGCCACAAGGTTGCCAGGCACGAAGACACATGCATCAAGACACATTGGCCAGTTCTTCTTTCACTGTCAGGAGACCCCGTGAAGGAGAAGGTACGCCTGCTCAAGCGTCCTCGTGTTTTCCTGTTGCGCTACCTGTTGGCCCTCGCCCTGAGACGCCAGACTGGTCTGACCTGGCTATCGCTGCGGAGCGGCGTGGCGGGCCAAGCGAGCGGGACCAGGTTTTTTGGAGCCTTCTTTCGACATGCTGAGGATGAACTTATCTCGGTGCACTCCATTGACTCTCTGGGGGCCCCTAAGTTTCGAGGCCGTGGTCGTCAGCCTACTTGGGTTCCCGCTCTGCGCAAGTCAGGAGGAGCCTATCCAGTGGGCTCGGCTGAATCCAGGGGCTGGAGGAAGGTAGCTAATTGGGCTTATGAGCTATACCACAGATCCAAGAAAGGGGAAGCGTGGGGCAATGATGAGTCCGTTGCCATTCTCGACAAGCTCTGTAAGGGGCCTGCCTGTCTGGCGGGTAGCACTGCTTGGCAGGGCTGCCCCCCCCCCCCCCCCGTTGGAAGTGTTATTTTTCTTCAGCGCCAAGCAGTGGCACGGCCTGTTCTGCGCGGCGGCCAAGCTCGCGACCAAGCACGAGCTGGCCGCCAAGTCGGACCGAGGGGCTAAATGGAGGACCTGGGTCGCCGAAGCTGTCTCGGATGGGGCTAGTAAGGCCCGCAAGTATTCGAAGCCCTCCATCGGTTGGATCCCCTCCACTAGCCTCCAGGGAGCCCCACCCCCTGGGCCTCGGCAGCAAGTCGACGAGCTCTTGGAGGCTTGGAAGGGAGTCTGGAAGCCGTCACCGGAGTCGGAGGCCATGCCAGAGCCCGTGGCCTATTGCACCTCCCTCTTGCAGCAGTTGGCTAGCGAGAGGGGGGCTTCCGTTGAGGATCTGTGCCCACCTGTCCGCGACCCTGAAGCCATCGGGAGAGTGGCTTCTATGTTCAAGAGGTTCACGGCCCTAGGAATCGACGCGCTGCACCCCAGGGAGCTGGCCAATCTTTCGGACGGGGCCCTCAAGTGCCTCGCCCTGCTCTGGCGCTGGCAGGAGTGCTCGGGCATCTTCAGCTCTGCCATTGCTCTCATCCTGTTGGCGCAGCTTCCTAAGCCTGAAGGAGGTTACCGACCCGTCGGCATCGAGAGCGGGGTCAGCTGGGGTTTCCACAAGATTGCTAGGCACGAGGCCGTTGAGTGGGAGGATCGTCATCCTAGGTCCTACCACTACGGAGTCAAGGGGAAGTCTTGCGAGAGGGCCGCCTGGGAGCAGAGTCTCGCTGTCGAGAACCACAGCCTCACGGGGTTCACCGCGGGGCTCGCCTTGCTTGACCTCACCAAGGCGCATGAAAAAGTGGTTCATTTCCTGCTCGTCCAAGCCGCGGTTGCTTGGCATTTTCAGATTTTCAGGCTCAGGCTTCTCATCGCGAAATACAGAGGACCTCGGGTCCTGAGCTTGTCTGGTGTCTGCTCGGACGTGGTGCATTCGTCGCAGACCATCTTGGCAGGGTGCCCGTTCGCCACGACGCTGCTCAGGCTGTTTTTGCTGTCTCCCTTGGGTAAAGTGTGCGAGCACTTCCCGCCCGCCGTCCCCTTCAATGTGGTCGACGACATTGCGCTGTTCATGGGGGGGGGGGCTGCCAAGGTGGTCCAGACTCGTCTTGGGAATGCTACGGCCTACTTAGGTGGGCTGCTGGAGGGCCTACAGCTGGTCGTCTCGGAGTCGAAAGGCAAGGTTTTGTCCCCGCGTTCTTCTGCGGCCCGTGGGCTGGCTAAGCGTCCGAGTAAATGGAAGTTCACCGCCCCTGCGGCTACCAGGAATTTGGGATGCGACTTTGGGGCGGGGCCCAAGGGTCGCAGGTCCAGGGCCGTCGTGGGGTCTCGGTTTCGCAAGATCAAGGGTCGTCTATCCAAGTTTCGCAGCCTCCGCAGCTCGTTCCAGGGGCCCATGAAGGTCATCAGAGGAGGGGCGCCCCCGCAGGGCATGTACGGGGCCATGGTCAAAGGTCTCGACGACAGGCGTGTCCGCCCTTTGAGATCCTCCCTGGCCTCGGCAACCTTCGGAGCTGCTCGAGGTCGAAGCCGCGCACTTGAGTTTATGATGTCCTCTGTTCCAGAGGCTGATCCCGAATTTGATGCTAATCGTCTCCCTCTTCTTGCATGGTCGCGCGCCGCCGGAGAAGGCTGGGTGGACCCGGCCACGCTACGCCGTTGTTTTGAGGCTGCGGAGCGCTGCCCCAGCTCGGCGTGGTCGGACGTGCGCGGCCCAGGCTCTGCAGTAGTACTTACGCTCAGGAGGTTGGGGTGGCACTCTGAGTCTTGGAGGCCTTGGAAGACCCGTTCTGGCATCGCGATTGATGTGGGCGTTATTGGGAAGAGGTCCTTGCACAAGCTGGCCACTCAGGATACCCATGACCTTCTTCGGAGCCGCGTGGGTTTGAAGATGTTTGGGTCTCCTGGGCTCCCCCTTGTGGCTCCCATCGCTAAGCTGCGCAAGCAATACCGCAACGAGGTTAGCAAGCAGAGTAAGAAGAAGGCGCGGTTACTGTCTGGCTTGGCTGCAGGTGGTTTTCCTACGCAAGCAGTGCTGCACGAAGATCGCAGGGTTGTGGATGTAAGGTGCCAGGTCTGCTTCGACGAGCCTGGGACACAGATGCACCGTCTCTTCAGACGCCCTGCGCATTGCGGGCTCAGACGGCACCTCGACTTGCAGGAAATTCAAGAGAGAGCTGCCGAGCCAGGCGCTGATCTACTTTTTCTCACGCGTGGGCTGGCTGTGTCCCCAGAGGCTAAGTGGCCACCGCCAGTCCAGCACGAGTATGTGAAGTGGGACAAGGTTTCCACCACAGGCATATGTCTGGACGGGTCCGCGCTGGATCCCGACCTCCCCCTCTGCAGGGCGGGGTGGGCGGTAGTGTGCATGGGCCCCCAGGTCGTTGTGGTTGCATCGTACAAGTACGGCCCGCTTCCCCACCCTGTGCAGGAGGCGGGATGCGGTGAGGTGTATGCTTTTCTCATGGCCTTGAGAGCGCTCGAGGTCGGCGTCGTGCAAATCGCCTCGGACTGCCAGCTTGTCGTGGATGTCTGGGCCAAGGGGCCCGATCAGGACTCCGATCGTTTGGCTTACTCTGAATTAAGGGTTCAGATCTTCCAGATTGCCCAGGGCCATGGGATTGAAAATATTACCTTCCGCAAGGTCCGCTCGCATTTGTCCCTCGCCAAGGCTCTCGAGGTGGGCATGCCCATCTGGGCGTGGAAGGGGAGCAATGAGGCCGATCGAGTTGCGGGGGGGGGGGGGGGGGGGGGGGGGGGGGAACTTCGCCCATCCAACCCCAGGGCCAAAGCTGAGTATGTGAGCCTCTCTGAGCAGGTTAGGCAGATGGATTTTCCAAGGGGCGATCCTGTTTGCTCTCTCGGAGGGGGGTTTTCCTGACGTTGCTAAGTGTAAAGCTGGGGGCCGTAGCAGATCGACTCGATTGTAGTTGGTGGCGGACCCCAACGGGCAGGAGTTTCGCAGGTCGGGGCAGAAACTCCAGAGGTTCTTCTGCCCGGGATGCGGTGATGGGTCTCACTCCAGGACGGGGCTCTGTTTGACCCCGTGCACTGGTCTCCCCATGCTTGCTCGTAGTGCCCACAGTGCCCAGACGCTGTGGATGGGGGGTGGGGGATCGCCTGGTGTTCGAGGTGCGCTGCCTTTGGCACCAAGAGGCCCCGCCTCCTGCGTGCGCAGCGCCGCGGAGCACCGCGCAACAAGGGGGCCCAGCAAAGCCTCTCGGACCTCAGGAAGGGCAAGGACCCGTCCGATGGGGGGTCTTTCGGGAGGAGCTGGCCCATCCCCGCGGGGCTCTTCAAGGAGGCGGGCTAATGCTGCCGCCGTCTCTTTCCGTCGTCTTGTCGTTTTCAGCGTGCTGTGTGGCCTCAGGGAGCTGGACAGTTGCGCCACAGGATCACAGGATCACAGGAGGAAGGGGAGCAAGGGGAAGAGGAGGAGGATCAGGAGGAGGAGGAGGAGGAGGAAGAGGGGGCGAAGGCGGTGAAGGGGGACGAGCAGCAGGAGCAGGAACAGGAACAGGAACAGGGGCAAGAGCAGGAGGGAGCACAAAAGGGAGGAGGAGGAGGAGGAGGAGGAAGAGGAGGGGGAGGAGCAGCAGCAGCATTTACGATATGGACAAGGGGGAGGGAGGAGGATGAGGAGGAAAGAGGAGGAGGAGGAGGAGAGGAGGAAGCGGAGGCGGAGGGGGGGAGGAGGAGGAGGAGGAGGAGGCGGGGAGGAGGAGGAGGAGGAAGAAGAAGACGAAGAATAATGAATGAGACGAGAAGAAGAAGGCGAGGAGGAGGATGATGAGGAGGAGGATGAGGGGGGAGGCGGAGGAGGACGAGTGAGGAGGAGGAGGAGGAGGAGGAGAGGAGGAGGAGGAGGAGGAGGAGGGGAGGAGGAGAGGAGGAGGGCGGAGGAGGGAGAGGGGGGGGGGAGGGGGGAGGGGGGAGGGGGGGAAGGGGGGGGGGGGGGGAGGGGGAGGGGGAGGGGGAGGGAGGGGGAGGGGGGAGGAGGGGAGGGGGGGGCGGAGGAGGAGCGGAGGCGGAGGCGGAGGCGGAGGAGGAGGAGAGGAGGAGGCGGAGGAGGAGGAGGAGGAGGGAGGAGGAGGAGGAGAGGCGGCGGCGCGGCGGCCGGAGGCGAGGGGCGGGGCGGAGGAGGAGGCGGAGGCGGAGGCGGAGGAGGAGGCGGATGAGGCGGAGGAGGCGGCGGAGGCGGCGGAGGCGGAGGAAAGCGGATGAGGAGGAGGAGGAGGAGGAGGAGGAGGAGGAGGAGGAGGAGGAGGGGGAGAGGGGAGGAGGAGGAGGAGGAGGAGGAGGAGAGGAGGAGGGAGGAGGAGGAGGGGGAGGAGGAATGAGGAGGAGGAGGAGGGGGAGGGGAGGGGGGGGGAGGGGGAGGGGGGGGGGGGGAGGGGGAGGGAGGAGGGAGGAAGGAGGAGGGAGGAGGAGGAGGAGGAGGAGGAGGATCAGGCGGAGGAGGAGCAGGAGCTGGAGCTGGAGCAGGAGGAGGAGGAGCAAGAGGAGGAAGAGGAGGAGGAGGGGGAGGAGCAGGAGGAGGAGGAGCAAGAGGAGGAGACGGATAACGAGCAAGAGGAGGAGGAGGAGGAGGAGGAGAGGGAGGAGGACGAGCGAGAGGAGGAGGAGGAGGAGGAGGAGGAGGAGGACCAGTGTAAACTCAAGGGCCACTAACGATGCACTAATAAACCCTCCTTCCAAGCTCCCTGTTCATCTGCCCCTGCAAGGGTTCATCCCCGCTGAGGAAACTGCCTCGTTGGAAGACAAACGTTTGAAGACCCTGATGCATGCCAAAACATCGTTTTCGGACTTCCAACGCCACGGATCAGCCTGACTATTGCGTCTAAGTAATCCTGAATCGTGCCAGAACGCCGTCAACATCGCGAACCAACGTAACTGTTGCACTCCCATAATCCAGAATCCTTCCAAAGCACCGTTTCTTCTGCGCTGATCATGGGAAAACGTGCAACTGCTGCACATGCTTAAAACGCATATGCGCGGCGCTAAGGCGAGAGCCACACCTTGAGAAGGAAACACCCTCACTCCGTGAAACACTTGCGAGTTTCAAAACATGTTGGGCGCGGGGCTACGACGAGAAGTACATTTTGAAAAGGAACCTCAATCCTCCGCGAACTTATTACACAGGTTTTAAACGAATGTGCGCGGCGATCAGGCGAGATATAGTTACATGATGAAAAGGAACCGCCCTGAATACGCGAAGTCCTTGCAAATGCTTAAAGCGAATGTGCGCGGCGCCGAGGCGAGAGCCACATTTTTAAAAGGCACCGCCCTCAATCCGTGAAGCTCTTGCAATTGTTTTAACGAATGTGCGCGGCGCTGAGGCGAGAGCCACATTTTGAAAACCACCCGCCCTCCTGTGAAGCTGGTGTCAGGTTTTGAAGTCTCAGGATCATGGTGAGGAAGTCTCAGGTGAAACGCCCGGGCCGCCCTAAGAACTGGCCTCGGGGTGCGACAGAGAGAAGTGATTTATAAGGACAAGGAATGGAGGAGGAGGTGGTGGAGGAGGAGGAGGAACACGGGAGGAGGAGGAGATGGAGGAGGAGCAGGAGGAGGAGGAGGAGGAGGAGGAGGACGAAGAGGAGGAGCAGCAGGAGGGTCCCAAGAGAAACCCGCAATCCTCAAACTTCTGGTGCTCAGGCCACCAGTCCTTTCCCACGGTGCTGCGCGTCTCTCGCCCCGCGGTCTGGCCAGGGGCGGCCACCGCGCCAGTTGGCCAGAACCCTCCAAGTCCACAGGCATTCGAGTACGGTAGGTTCGCGTCGTGTCGACCGGCGGCGACCCCGCCGCCGACGTTCAACGTTGAACGCCGACGGCGGCCCAGAATCGGTCGATGTTGAACGATTGGACGTTGCGGAGACGGCCGATCGTTCAAGGTTGAGCGATCCAGCGCGGTGTCAAGAACCAACGCCTGGGTCGACACGACACGAACCTGCCGTAGGCGATCGACAGCAGAATCGGTTTACCCCAAAATCGATCTTCTCGTCGAGTGTACAGCAAATGCGTAGCATGCTCGCAGATCGTTCCACGCATTTTTTGTTGATTCGACGAGGATGTCCACTTTAGGGTAAATCCATCATGTAGTCGATCCCCCACTCGAGCGAGGCATTGGAGAGCTGTTGCGACGTGGGCATCCCTGACATGGCTGGGGAGCTCCCCCGGCCACCGCGCGGCGACCCGACCGGCGCCTCACGCCACCGCCTTGGCCTCGGCATGGCAAGGCGGGAAGAGGTGGCCGTCCGAGAGGGTGTCCAAGATGGCACGCGATGGTCCAATATTGCCCCCAAGATTCAGGAGGGAAAGATCGACACAGACACGAAGGATCGCCGACCCACTGGACAACGTAGGAACACATTTGGGATGGAGGGGCAGGCGAAAGGTCCGGAGATGCGATCAAACATGGGAAATCCTGGGACGTGTGCTGATTGATTGAATCGCTTCGCTCATTCCGCCAGCTCATATTGCATCACTGGTGCTACATGTTTGTGCGATCGTGGGCCATCGCTAGCGTTTGGGGGCCTCTTGGGGGCCTCCAGGTGGCCTCTTGGGGGCCTCTTTTGGGGCTCTCTTGGGGGCTCTTGGGGGGCGCTTGGGGGCTTCTTGGGGCCTCATGGGTGCCTCTTGGGGCCGAGAGCTCGAAATGTCCGTCCGGGTTCCGCGTCTGGCCCCCTCTTGGGGCCTGGGACGCGTGCTGACGTATCTGGGTGCTCCTGGTCTCCCTCAAGCAGTGCCTCCACGGTGCCCCCGAGGGTGCTTCCGGATCGCGCCACGAGACTGCTCGAGGTGGCCGCGGCCAGCCCGGCGGGGTGCCCAACCCCAGGGGCGCGGCCTGGCCCTCTCCTCGATCTGCCAGGCTTAAGTCGGGCATGCCCCTCTACAGGAGAAATATTCCAACATGGTCAAAACGTGCGGGGGACGATGTTTTGAGTTTGTTTTCGCTGTGTTTGAACTATTGTTGGATATGTTTTGTGTTTCCCCAAAGATCCGCTTGTGCGGGGACATGCCCGACCTAACGCTGCGCGCCGCAGGACATTTTGCCAAGACGCTGAAATGAGTCTGCCACGTGCGGGGTGGGTCAGGTCGGAGGAGGAGCAGGTACCCACACGGCCACCCTTCCACCTCCTCCTGCTCCTTCTGCTCCTCCTCCTCCTCCTCCTCCTCCTGCTCCTTCTGCTCCTCCTCCTGCTCCTCCTGCTCCTCCTCCTGCTCCTCCTCCTCCTCCTCCTCCTCCTCCTCCTCCTCCTCCTCTTCCTCAGGGCACCGATGCTGCCACTCTTTTTGGTTTGCCCCTTTTGGGGGCCTCTCCCGGGAGGCCCTCGTCGCGCCGGCCGGACTTTCGCTGTGGAATCCTGGTCAGGACAGGCCCCAGGAGAGGTCCGAGGGGGTAACGGTACTCCAGATTTCGTAATAAAAGGGAGGGGGTCTGGACCCTCTCAGACAACCCATTTCAGACCCCCCCCGTGGGAGAACCCTCCAAAACATCGTCCCCAGACCCCCCCAGGCCCTCCAAGATAGTCTGGAAGAGACCCCCCCCGAAATGAGACCCCCCTCCCTTTATTACGAAATCTGGAGTATCGGTATTGCGAAGGCCTTACGGCCGGTGCCGCCGAGCCTGAATGGCGACGACGACGACGACGACGACGACGACGACGAGCGCTCTTGGGGGCCTCTTGGGGGTAGTTTGTGGGCCTCTTGGGAGGCTCTTAGGGGTTGAAATCCTGGTCAGGACAGGCCCCAGGAGAGGTCCGAGGGGGTAACGGTAGCGGCACTTTCGGGGCTCAAGAGTCTAGGCCTCCTAGATGGGGCCGGAGTAGATGGGGTCGGAGGAGCGCGCCGCATCGCCGATGCATCGCCGATGCATCGTCGATGTATCGTCGATGCGGCGCCATCCTCCGACCCCATCTACTCGGACCCCATCTAGGAGGCCTCTAAAGAGACGGGGGTCAATGCAAACGGGGTCAGCCAGGGCACCATATCCTGAAGGATCCTGCGAAGACCCCTTCTGGCCGACCCGGATTAGCCAGCCACCCGTGGCCGCGAGGCGGCCGCGCATGTTGGCTGACCGGGGTTTGCGAAGCCCTGCGTTACAGTTGTTTTTCCTGCATTGCCGTTTTTTTGTTTCCTGCTGACCCGGGTCTGGATTGACCTGGGTCAGAAGATCCCCGATATTTGTCGGTTCCCCCGCTCAAAGGCAGGACAGCCGAGATGTGCGCGGGACGTCATGCGAACACGACGGGCAGGACAAGAAGGCGATGCTTTCTTGTTCAAATCCACCCGTCCATTGATTCCCCTTCCGCAGAACCGTGTTATGTCTTTGAGCCCCACAGAAATTCAATCGATGGAAGACCCAATCACCCCTTTACAGTGGAAGCCCATGCCCAGAAACACCATTACTGCCTCCAGGTTGCCCTGGGTTTCTTCGGTCTCGACGGTTTGGTATGGAAAGCGTGAAGTTCCCACACGAAGAATCAATGGACGTCCTGGGATTTCAGGGTTGGGTTACGTGTGGCAGGTTTCTTGTGGTCGAGCTCCTACTGTAAACTCTTAGCATCCCCCCTCATTCCTCCTCCCCCTCTCCCGCTGGGGTAAAGATGCGGCTGGACCGTCGCTTGGGTTGTCGTGGAGCGCAGGCGTTGGGACAGTTTCGATGTCTCTTGTTCGAGGGCAACGATCGAGGGGATCGGCATATGGGGGGAAACATCGCCCTGGAATGGGCGATACATCGCCGATAGATCGTCGATAAGATAGCGAATCCGAACGTTCCTGGGCAGGTCGGGGCTATCGGGCCCCTACCGTCTATCGAAGGGCGAGTGGGGGGCGATGCGTCCCCCCCTACAGTCGGGGCCCTGAAGAAGGAACCCTGTTGGTTGGGGAGGGGCTCCGCGTTCCTCAAGTGTTTCACAGCTTGCCTCAGGTTGTCCTTAGGTTTTCGATGGGAAGTCGAAGTTTAACTTGTGGAAAAAGCGGGCCTCGTTCCCTATTTAGGGTTCCTTAGGTCAACGCCCCGACTGTATCCCCCCTCAGTGTTGTGGCCACGCCCTGGACCGAACGATGGCCGGGCGGGCCAACTCGCCTTTTGCGAGCGAGTGCCATGGTTAATCCCGAGCGAGTGGGGATGCAGGCTCTCGCCGGCCTGCGCAGGCGAGTCCGCCTGCCCCGAAAGCAGCGCATCACCGTTCGCTCCTGTGCCGCGGTCGGCGCCCTCGTGACGTCAAGATCTGTTTGGGTGGCGGCCATCGCTCCCTCGTGCAGGTGTACCGCGAGGATTTCAGTGAGCGAGCTCTGAACTGAACAGGCGCACGCTTGTGATGCATCAGCGTCGGAATCCTCCTCCCCTCCTTCCCCTGAGCACATCCGTGACCAGCCGATGCTCGGCTTCAAATCAGGAGCCTGGGGATACGAGTCTAGGACCCAGCGCAGGGGCGACGGGCGGTGGAAAATCAGAGGAGCAGAAGGTCTTGATAATGATACGCTCCAGGATGTTCCATATCTGGAGGATCCCATCGATGTCCTAGTGTTCGGGGGCTGGATATCCACACGGGCCGCAGAAACGAGGGCCGCGCGGCATCATCTTCGCCTAACAAGAAGAGGGAAGGGAGGAGAGTCGGCGGCGAGTCCGGGAGGGATATGCAAAGGGGCGAGCTTCTCAGAAGGTTCGGAGGACCCCCGGCCTCTTGAGAAGTGGTCGAAGCCTTCCCCGAAGGCGCAGAACGAATCTCAAAAAAGGCGCGAGGGTTTCTGAGGAATCCACGCCGCCTCTTGAGAAGGCCTTCTCCTTCTCGCTTCCCCCCCTCGCCCGCCGCCGAGAGAGGGGGGGGGCATCCTCCTTCCCCCACGTTCCCAGAGATCCGATGTCGGGATTGTTTCAATACGGATACCCTGGAAGTCCCGACCGCTTCCCCAGGACTGGTGTTTCATCCTGAGTCGTGTTTTGACGGTCCCGAGGCCCAGCGAGGGCCCTCAGGGGCCGAAATTAGCGAAAAACCTTCGTCTTGGTTTTTGTCACTGCGTTGGATCTCTGGGTCTTTCTCCGCCTCCTCCTTCCCCCTCCCCTCGGATGCCCCTCAGGGCTGCTGATGGAGGGCGCCCGGGACAGGGCCGGTGACGCAGGCGGCGCTGCGCCTGCTTCTGCCCTTTCCGCGCCCCCTGCGGGGGGGTAACCTGGCCCGCCCTGGCGATGCCTGAGGAGGGAGGAGGAGGAGGAGGAGCAGGAGGAGGAGGAGGAGGAGGAGGAGGAGGAGGAGGAGGAGGAGGAGGAGGAGGAGGAGGAGGAGGAGGGAGGAGGAGGAGGAGGAGGAGGAGGGAGGAGGAGGAGGAGGAGCAGGAGGAGGAGGAGGAGGGGACCGCTGTTTTATCCCCTGGCGATCACGGGCGTGACCGGAGGGAGGGGGGGCAAGCTAGGTGCGCTCGCGTCATATCTGACGTCCTCCTCCCCCCCCCTCTCCCGTGGCGTGGCCAGCTGGGGGAGAAGGGGGGTGGCGCAGGGCCGGTGATGGGAGTGGTCGCGAATGACAGAGCGATGTGATCGAGTGGGGAGGCTCCTGGAGGTTCCTGAGGGCTCCCCGATGTCACAGAGGGTCATTGCATTTGTTAGTAGCCCTCGGAGGGCCGGGTTTTTCGGGCGAGGATACGTATAGAGAGGGGGAACAGAGAGTACGAGAGAGAGAGAGAGAGAAACAAAAAAAAAAAAAAAAAAAAAAAATAGAGAGATAGAGAGAAGAGAGAGCAGAAAGAGAGAGAGAGAGAGAGAGAAAGAGAGCGCAACCACTCGGGCGGGGTGTCCGTTCTGGCGCGCGGGCTCTCAGCGCACCGCTGTGGCGGGAAGGGCGGCGGCAGATAGCGGGGGGGGACGGAGCCCCCTCTCCCCCAGCGCCGTCAGAAGCAGACCACGACGCGGAAGCAGCGCGGGGCACGGCCATGCGGACGTGGCACACCCGGTCTCTGCGCGCGTCCCGTGGCGGGGAGAGGGCCCCCGGGCGTGTAATTGAGCACGTCTTGGCGTGCGTGCCGCCGGGATGTCCGCGCAGGAAGGGCGTCACACGGCGGGGTTACCCCAGGTTTCGTAAGAAGGGGAGGGGGGTCTCATTTCGGGGGGGGCCTCTTCCAGGCTATCTTGGAGGGCCTGGGGGGTCTGGGGACGATGTTTTGGAGGGTTCTCCCACGGGGGAGGTCTGAAATGGCTTGTCTTGGAGGGTCCAGACCCCCTCCCTTCTATTACGAAATCTGGAGTGCCCCCGACCGCGGCCCAGGGCGTTGAACGTGGACCGCGTTGCCAGGCATCCGCGCGGGGCGCAGAAGCAAGCGGTTGGTGCGCTGGCGGTGAGCGGCAGGTCTCGTCCGGAGAACCTCGTGGAGGGGGCCCCAATTGGGGAGGAGGCGGTGGATACGCCGCGCGAATGGCGCCCCAGTCGGAGTGGGCTCGTTGGGGCCGTGCGCGAAAGGGGCCCGCCTGTTCCTGGGCGCAGCGCAGCGTGCGCGCGAGGCGCGCGGCGCGTTCCTGGAACGCGGAGGTGCTCGTGCGGATGTCGGTCTCGCGAGCGGCATGCCGGTCCGCCTCTGAGAAGTGGGTGGGGGCGCTGCGCCAGTCGGGGGGCCCGTGCTCCTATCTGCCTGCTGGGATGGAGAGTCGCATGTCCAGGCTGCGGCTGCCCTGTAGGGGAGGGGTGCGGGCTTGGTGGCCGGAGGGGCGTTGGGTGTTTAGCAGAAGTGGCCAGCGCAGCGGCTTGAGGTGGCCGCTCTGCTACGATGACGCTCCGCGACCCCTTCCATGGCCCCCGTGGTCAGCGCCAGGTGGCTGGCATGGAGCGGTCCTACCACCCCTGCAGGGGTAGGGGGGGTTCGGGAAGGCACCGCAGGAGGCACCGGGACTGGCGAGCGCTGCGTGCGAGTCGGCGTCGCCAGGAGGTGCGGATTGTCTGTGGAGCGGAGCGTGGGAAGCACGCCGTTGTCGACGTTGAGGGCGCCGCCGAGACCAGAGGGGCCGTCTTCGTCGCCGTCGAGGTCGCCAGGGAAGGTCTCCCAGAGGTCGTCGAAGACGTCGGGCCCTTGTGGGCCTGGAGGTCCTGGGGCCCGGGTGTGCCCGGTGTCCCTGGTGCCGCCCTGCCAGAGGTGATGAGCAAATTTTCCACCATCACAACCACATGTAGGACGGGGCCTCCTCCGCCTCCTCCGCCTCCTCCTCCTCCGCCTTCTCCGCCTCCTCCTCCTCCTCCTCCTCCTCCTCCTCCTCCTCCTCCTCCTTCCTCTCCTACACATGGTAGTGGTGGTGGAAGACGGGCCCATGAAGAGATGAGTGGGTCTGGCTCCGCGCGGGTGGGTTTCGCTCCTCGTGTACGACCCGGCCCGGTCGTTCCGGGAGGGGCCGGGCGCGGATGGCGGCGTGCGCCGGCGGCCGCCGCCGCGCTACAGTGGAGACCCTTGCCAAGAAGCACGCTGCTTGCATCCAGGGTGCCCGGGGTTTGTGGGGCTTCGATGGCTTTCCCATGGAGAGCGCGACGTTCCCACACCAAACGTCGATGGACGTCCTGAGGTCTCAGCGTCTGGTTTTTTGTGGGAGGTTTCTTGTGGACTGGCCTCCACTGCCTGGAGCACAACCGCAATCGCGTGGCGCCCTTTGGAGGCCCCGGCGGCATCTCGCGGCAGATGGAGGAGGCGCGCTCCCTCCGCGGCCAGTTCGTCGGTGCGTCGGCTGGAGGCGGCGGCCGTCGGCGAGAGGATACAATGATGCACCCCTTGCTCACCGAGGCGGCCTTCGACCTCTCCGACCCTGGACGTGCTTGGTTGGGCCTGCGCGACGCGGCGGATGCTCCGCGACCCGAGAGCGCCTGACAGGGGGATGGTGGCCGGCCAGGGGGGCCTCGAATCCATCGACGACAGCCTGGCCGCCGATGAAGATGTGCACGGGGCCTGTCGGCCGTGGCGGCCAGGTGGAGGAGGGCCGGGGCCTCCCCTCGTTGGGGCTCACAGGACCAGGCTCACGGGCCTCAGAGGGCTCACTCTGTCTCTCTCTCTCTCTCTCTCTCCCTCCCCTCTCTAGATTCTAGATGCGTGGATCATGTGTGTTCTGTACCGTGCTTGCAGGTTTGGGCTGTTTTCTGTGTTATGGTTTTTGTTTTTGTTTTCTCTCCCTGTCTCTGTCACTGTGCTGTTGTGATTGTTGTTGTTTCTTGTGTCTCTGTCTGCCTCTCTCTCTCTCTCTTTCTTTCTTTTTTTGTTCTCTCTCTCTCTCTCTCTCTCCTTGTCTCCCTCTCCTCTCTAGATGTGTCGATCATGTGCCAGAGTACCGGGGCCCCAGTTCCCCCCCCCCCTTGGCCCCCCCCTCTGGAGCATCCTGGACCCTTCCCCGGCCACCCTGGCCGCCCCAACACACCCTCCAGGGGATACGAATCAGCGACGAGAGCGGCGCAAGACAGCAAAGGAAAGACAGAGGTAAAGAACCTAAAACATTAAAAAACCGAAGACAGAAGCAAAAGCGAAGACAGAACATGGACAAACCCTCAAGTTCCCTGTATGGTGTGTGCTTGTCTTCCGTGTTCTGTCTGCCGATTCGGGGGACGCCGAGGTCCTCCAGTGCACGCGTGCACGTGCTCGTCGAGAGCTGATCCGGCTCCTCGGCGATGCCAGCTCAAAGTTGTTGTTGCTTGCCATCAGGCTCGCCTCGAGCGGACGGGAGCACGCTTGGATGGCTCCTCGAGTGGAAGCCCGAAGCGAAGCAGCCGTGCAAAACAAAAAAACGTGCACGCGCGCCCGTGCACACGCGGCTATGTGTAAAGCGCGCCCCCGCGGAGAGAGCGGCTGGCGCGACCGCGGGCACCCGGGGAGAGGTCGGGCCGCCGAGGCGCGGCCCGCCTCTGCAGCGCCGCGGCAGAGAGCAGGGCAGCGCGCCGTCGGACGCCTGGAAATGGGCAGCACGCCGTCGGACGCCTGGAAATGGGCTTCAACACCAACCAACAGGGGGCTATGGCTATGGGTATGGGTGCGGGTTGTCGGACCCTGGGGAACGCTCCCGTTCGAACGGGGACCCCCAGCCGACAACACGCACCCATAGCCCTCTCCGACCCCCCTATGGGTATGGGTGTGTGCTGTTGGTTCGTCACAGAGAGCAGGGCAGCTCGCCGTCGGAGGCCTGGAAATGGGCACCAACCAACAGGGGGCTGCCTCCACAGGGGGAAGGTGATCCCAGATCTCGGTGCTGGTGGTAAGGTTTCGGCCGCCCTGGGAGCCAGAATAGTACCACCCCCACCGAGATCGGGATCTTCATCCCTCGGTGGAGGCACACCGCCGATCTTGGTGTTGGTGTCAACCTCTGGGCCTGCGACGCCGGCACGGTCGCAGGGAGGCCGAGCACTCACGCAGTGGCGAAGCGTCCTGGCGTGCCTGCAGTCCTACCGAACAATGTTCTAAGAACATGTTGTGGTTCCCACGAAAAGTGTTATTCGAACATTTCTGGTTGGGACCGTGTTGCTCTAGCACATCGGGTTCTTCTGTTCTAAGAGCATCGCTTTTGTTCTTAGCACATCTGGGGGTTCTAGGAACAAGTCGTGGTAGGACTATTGCACCACCCACCAACCCACCCCAACCCAACCCAAAGGCCCCGATTTGCCCTCCATTTCCAGTGGGGGGGGTCTGGGAACATGGAACAAATACATATATGGAACCCGTACCCCCCCCAACCCGAGATTCGTGTCTTCGGGTTGGGTTGGGGTGGTCTGGTAGGTAGTCGCTATAGGGATGCCGGGACGGCCGGTCGTCCCGCTCAGAGCACGGCGGCCAGCCCGCCCGAGCTTCGCCGGTCTGGCAGAGGCGTGCGCCAGCTCGCCCCCGGGCCTGGCCACCGCCGGCCCCCCCCCCTAGGCAGCCGGGGGGCACCCGTCTCGGGATGGTTGCGCAGGTTGCGCTTCCATCGGCGGGACTTCCAGGTTCTCACCGAGAGCGGTCCACTACAGCCGGGGCGTTGACCTAAGGAACCCCAAATAAGGAACGAGGCCCCTTTCTCCCACAAGTTAAACTTCGATGTCCCATCGAAAACATAAGGGAAACCTGAGGCAAGCTGTGAAACAATCAAGGAACACCGAGCCCCTCCCCAACGAAAAGGGTTCCTTCTTCAGGGCCCCGACTGTACTCGCAAAAATAGGTTTGCCTCGATGCAACGTGTCGTAAATCTTCCTCGGTGGGAACAGGCAATTTGCGCGTAGTCACTCTGCAGGTCGTGGAACGCGCTCGTCTGGGTTCGCCGCCATGTCTTGCGAGAAATCAGCATGGCGAGCAGGCGCCAGGAACGGAAGGCAGCATCGAAGATTTCGTCGTGCTTGCATGTGCTGTACAGTGGAGGTCAGTCCAAAGAGACCTCTCACAAGAAACCCAACTCCGAGACCCCAGGGCATCCATAGATTTAAGTCGGGCGTGTCCCTCTACAGGATGAATAGCTATGCTGTGCACCTCCGCCCAAACTTTTTGCTACTGAGAAGGGGGACATGATGCACGGGATGGTAATCACTCAGGAGGTGAAGGACGATTGCAATGAGGAGGAAAAGGAGGAGGAGGAGGAGGAGGAGGAGGAGTGGAGGGGGAGAAGGAGGCCGATCTGAAAAATGCGAAGCGGGAGTCAAGGGAGAAGCATGAGTAGGAGGATGAGGAGCATGAGGAGGATGATGACGAGGAGGACGAGGAAGGATGGATAATGAGAGAGAGAGAGAGAGAGCGTCAGACTAATTTGGATGCTGGATAATGAGAAGCCTAAGCCTTTTCAATAATGTCATGTTTAATAATAGTACTACTACTGATTAGAATACCAATGCTAATACCACAAATTATAATGATACTGATGATGGTGATGCTGTTCATAATATGATGATGCTGATTCTGCTACGGATAATAATTTGGAAACTTAAAAAGCAACAACAAGAACAATCACAGGATGAGCACGACGAGGTGCAGGAGAGGGAGAAGGACAACGATGAGGAGGCGCGTAGGGGAGGAGCAGGATAAAGGGAGACGAGGCAGGATGAGGAGCTGCGGGAGGAGAAGAGAGGTGACAGGAGGAGAGGGAGAAGGAGGAGGAGGAGGAGGAGGAGGAGGCAGAACGAGGAGGAGGGTCAAGGGCAGGGGCAGGAGGAGGAGGAGGAGGAGGAGGAGGAGGATGAGGATGAGGGGATGACCAGCAGCAGCGGGAGGAGGAGGAGGAGGAGGAGGCGGAGGAGGAGGAGGAGGAGGAGGAGGACAAAGAAGCAGGAGGAGTTCGTTACCCTCCGCTTCTTATCCGTCTCGCCACCCCCTATGCATCCGCTTGGGAGCGACCAGAAGAAAGCAGACAGAAGACAGACAGAAGCGGGAGAAGGAGTAGTGACCCAGTAAAGAGAGAGAGGAGGAACAGAACCTACCCCAAACAGGTCTGAAGATACAAAAAAAAATAAGAATCAAAGGAGATAACCAGCAAGTATTCATCACACATTTTAATTACTCAATTGAACACTACTGCCCCTTCTTCTCCTCCCCGTCCTCCTCCTCCTCCTCCGTACCTCCTCCCCTCCTACCCTGCTCCTCCACCTCACATCCTCCTCCTTTTCCCCTCCTCCTCTCTGTCCTCCTCCTCCTCTTCCTCCTCCTCCTCTTCCTCCTCCTCCTCCTCCTCCTCCTCCTCCTCTTTGAGGAGCATAAGGGGCCAGTGCAGCACTGTGGAGCGTCGCCCCCTCGCGTGCCGAGGCAGCTCGGTGCAGGGCCGGCTGTGGCAGTGGGCGCTGCGCTGGGGCGGAGGCCTCGGGAGGGCTCGGGGGAGGACCTCCAGGGGCGAGGGCGCGCACAGGGTCGGCCCAGTCCGCGCCGACGCGGCGACGGCCCCACAGCGGCGGCCGTTTGCGAGGTGGGAGCGTCGTCGGCGCCCTGAGCTCGGCCGAGGCTGGACGATCTTCGTCTGATGGGCCTGTTTTCCACCACCACCACCAGAAGTTGGAGGGGGAGGGGGTCCTCCTCCGTCTCCTCCTCCTCCTCCTCATCCTCCTCCTCTTCATCTTCCTCCTCGTTACCCTCCTCCTTCCCCCCTCCAGCCTATTATCGTCCTCCTCCTCCTCCCTCTACTCCTCCTACTCCTCCTCCTTCCTTACCTCCTCCTCCTTCCTCCTCCCTCCTCCTCCCTCCCTTCCTCCATCCTCCCTCCACTCCTTCCTCATCTCCCTCCGTCCTCCCTCCTCCTCCCTCTCCGCGGTCGCCGGAGATCGATTGATTGATAATAAAAAATGATTATAGATATATATTTGTGAGGAGGAGCGCCGTCGGCGCCCCGAGCTCGGCGGGCGCTGGGCGATCTTCGCCTCCTGCGGCGCGGGCCGGATGGAGCTGTAGAGCGCGCGCCCAACCCCCAAGTGTGACATCCGAGACACTAATCCTTGCCTCCTCCTCATCCCTGCTCCTCCTCCTCCTACTCACTCCCCTCCTCCTCCTTCCTACCCCCCCCTCCTCCTAACCTCCTCCACCCTCCTCTCCTCCTACTCATACTCCCCTCCTCATCCTCATCCTACTCCTCCTCCATCCTCTGGTGCGCGGCGGATGGAGCTGGGGAGCGAACCGTAAAGCGTGCGGACGATCTTGCGCTGCGCACCTTTGGCGACCCCCCCCCCCCCTCTTCGGCGGCGCGCACAAGGGGGTGGGGGGAGGGGGGAGGGCTCCTTAGAAGGAGGCTGCTTCTTAGAAGGCGCCGGCCTCGCATTCTATAGAGAAGGCCCGCGCCTTCTAAGAAGCAGGGGTGCTTCTGAGAAGCCCTACCCCCTCCCTCCACCCCCCTCTGCGCGTGGCCAGCGCTCGGGAGGGGTCCGCGCGGCGTCAGGCACCCGCGTGCCCGGGGCGCCGCGGCGCGAGCAGGCCGCAGGGAGCTTTCGTCGGCGTTTGCAGGCGCGACTCCGGTGGCACGCAGGGAGGGGGCGAGGGCGACCACTGAGATCAAGTCGGGCATGTTCCTCTGCAGGAGGAGTCTTAGATATAGTCTGGAACATGCTCTGGGGACGATTGTTTAGCATTTGTTTCCATCATGTGTGACTATGTTTTAAATTTGTTGTCCAAAGTCCGCCTGTAGGGGGTCATGCCCGACCTAACACTAAGAGTCCGAGAAACAAATGCCATACGCATGAGTTGTTGGCGCTCCGCGCGGATCCCTTGGATCCGCGTCGTGCCCCCCGCCCCTCCAGCGCCGCTCCTGGCGCGCTCCACGCGCCAGGGAGGGGGATCCGGCGCGGATCCAAGCAATCCGCGCGGAGCGCCAAAAGTTTACGCTTCTTCCGTGATTTCTTCTGCTGAAGAAGATCGGGGGCGGAAAAGAGGGGGTAATGACTAGGGGGGGGATATCATGGCGTGGGCCATGATATTTCCCCAGATCTCATGGCGCCTCTTCTTGTTTCGTTCGTCCCTGGCCCCCCCGCTGGGCCGCGCACGTGCCGCCGGCCATGATTTGCACCCCCCCCTCTTGGGCACCCCCCTCTTGGCCGCTCCCGAGAAGAAGGCGGGGAGCTTCGCAGGAGGCCGCCCCCCCCGGCGCGCGCCGCCAAGCAAGACCGCGTGAGGTCCTTCGATGAGCTCACAGCAGGTGGCTGGCCGGGCCTTGCATGTCGTCGGGGGTGTTCGGAGGTTTCTGGCGGGCGTTCGGAGGTGTAAAACGACGCGGAGATCGGGACACAGTCGGATCGGGATAACTCGAAATCTCTGAGAATAGGCGGGTTTGGAGGATGCATTGGGCGCCGCGGCCGCTCCAGAGCGTTCCGGAACGCTCTGAGAGCGCTCCGGAAAGCTCTGGAGCGATTTATCCCGATCCTAGCCCTGTTTTAGAGCTTCCGGAATGTCGTCCTCGGATGAGTTTTCTGGAGATTCTCGGAGGAGCAGGTGGGGGGGGAGGACGAGGAGAACGAGATTGCCCCCCCCCCCCCCCCCCCCCCACAGACTTCATCCTGTGCCGAAGGAGAATCTTAGGCTCAGACTGTGTCTGCGAAGTACTTGGTGGTGAGGAGTTTCACTCTTTTCGGGGGTGAACAGAGCCCCCAACCGTGACACGCCGATCAGTGAATTGTCCGTTTCCGGTTCTCGAGAGGGCGCCGTGGCCGTTATTTTCCAGGCTCGCGCCTGCCATGTTTGGGCCTCAGGTCGTTTTCACGTGGTTTTTGTACTCATAGTTTAGTTTTTATTTTGTTTGTCTTAGTTTTTTTATTTCCTATTTTTTATGTATTTGTTTTTTATTTTATTCATTCTATTTCTAGGTTTATTGTTCTATTTTTTTTTTATCGTATGATTTTTTTATTGTGTTTTTCTTTTTATAGTTCTTTTATTTTTTCTATTTTTTTTTTTCTATAATTTTTTTAAACCACGTTCTACTAAAGGGGGGTCTGTCCATCCCCGATCTTTCTGAGGACAGGCGTCGAGCGCTCCAGCTTCTTTGAGAGGAGGTCGATCGAGGAGGAGGGCGGGAGGAGGAGCAGGAGAAGGAGGAGGAGAAGAAGTGAGAGGGGGAGGAAGTGGGGTGGGATGCAGAGAGAGGAGAAGAGGGAAATTGGACGATGATGTTGTAACTCCCACGGGGGAAGACGTGATGAGGTGGAACGTGGACGGACGAGGGTTTGCTTGCTCATTCGAAGGATTGTGGCCTCGAGCCCCGAACGCGACGTAAGTTACAAGGGACTGCGGCCTCGAGAGCGCGAACGCGGTGTACTTTACCAGGGATCGTGGCTGTGAGAGCGCGACCGCATTGTAATGTACGAGGGGTGGTGGCCTCGGAACCGCGAACGCGCCCTCACTTACGAGGGATGATGTGGAAGACGATGGGGAGGAGGAGACCGAGAAGGAGGAGGAGGAGGAGGAGGAGAACGGGAACGAGGAGGAGGAGGAGAAGGAGAACGAGAAACAGGGGATGGGGATGGGAGGCTAAGGCGTACATGTTCAGGAGAGAAGGGGGGACATGGTATGACGAGGAGGCACATCGAGGGCAGGGGAGCACCTCATACTTCCCCCTGCGCCTCTCTTTCCTCCGTCTCCTGAGGGCTGGAGTCAGGCGAGCAGCGGGGAGCCGATGGGCAGAACCGGGTCCACGGATAGAGCATGCGGCATGCCGTCCCACTCCCCTCCCACCTCCCCCTCCGATCTCTTCACGCCCCCCTCAACATCTCTTCGCCTCTTCTCCCCCCACCCCTTTCCTCCCAAGCGTCCCCAACCTCTCTTCCCAACTCTTCCCCTCTAGCCTCAATTCTTGACGCCTCGCGTATCCCCAACATCACGTCGTCGATGGCGTTTGGAGCCTGGCGCCCCACCGGCGACTCGCTCCACTGGCCTCGCGCTTGCCCCCACTCAGAACGACGGACTGGGTTACTCTGGTTCACGTCTCATACTGTGTGGGTCGTGCCAATGGCAGGCACCGAATTCCAAGATATTTTGTCCTGTGCACGTGCTCGAGCTCTCAGGATCCCCCCCCGCCGTCAGCTCCCCTTCAGCTTCGCGGCTGCTTTGTGAGTGCCTCCCCGCCCGCAAGCCGTCTCGCTCACTCCCACCCGCCCTCCCAACACATACGTAGCACCCGAGTTTGGCCCGAGCCTCAGCACATTCAGCAGTCGCCTTTGGATGGGCAGCTACTGGGGGCCAGTCCGCCGCCGCCGCCGCCGCCGCCGCCGCCGCCTCCGCCGCCGCCGCCGCCGCCGCCGCCGCCGCTGCCCGCCGCCGCCGCCCCCGCGGCCCGCCGCGCCGCCGCCGGCGCCCGCCCCCGCCCCCGGCCCCCGCCCCCGCCCCCGCCGCGCGCCGCCGTTCCGCGCCCGCCTGCCGCCGCCGCCCCCGCCGCCGCCGCCGCCGCCGCCGCCCGCCGCCGAGCCCCCCCGCGACCAAAACCGCCGCCGCAGCCGCGCCGCCCCGCCGCCGCCCCGCCGCGCCGCCGCAGCCGCCGCAGCCGCCGCCGCCGCAGCCGCCCGCCGCGCCGCCGCCAAGTGTACTCTGTATTGTTTTTGTGACAGGGATGGTGGGGGGGGGCCGCATCGGGTTAGTTGCGCATGTTCCGAATTTGGAGGCAGAGTGTGTTTTGCACTGTTTTGTTACAAGGGATGGTGGTGGGGGGGGTGGCATGGACTCGGGTTGGCCCCCAGTCGCCTGGGGGAGGGGGTGTTTATTAATAGGGAACAGTGATAAACCCCTCCCCGAAGAGAAAGAAGGGGGCTGGAAGAGGAAACGCTCTAGACCACCCACGCCCGTAGGGCTTGTGGGATTGGCATTGTGTTTTCGACCTCGTCTCCGTCCGCGCGATAGGGAGGAGGAGGAGGAGAAAGAGGAGGAGGAGGAGGAGGAGGAGGAGGAGGAGCAGGAAGAGGAGAAGGAGAGGGATATCATGAGGAGAAGGAGGAGGAGGAGGCTTCTTGGGGCCCTTTTACGGCATTCCGGGGTCCTTTTAGGGGCCGTTTGGGGGCTTCTTGGGATTCATTGTCCACTCTCTCTTCCCCACCACCCTCTCCGATTCTTCCACACCATCCCCATATCTCTGCCCCTTCCTCCTCGTCCGCCCCTCCTTCCTACATGCCCCCTTTGCGAAGTGATGAGATGGATGAGGGACGGGGGAGGAGGAGGAGGAAGAGGAATATGTGGAGGGGGGGAAGAGGAGGAGGGGGCAGGAGGACGACGAGGAGAAGGAGGAAGAGAAGGAGGACGAGGAGGAGGAAGAGGAGGAGGAGGTAGAGGGGAGGAGGGAGGGAGGGAGGGACGGAGGTAACGGGGGACGAACGAGGGAGGGAGGGAGGAGAGGGAGGAAGAGGAGAAGGAGGAGGAGCAGGAGCAGGAGCAGGAACAGCAGGAGCAGGAGGAGCAGGAGGAGGTGGAACAGGAGGGAGAGGCGGAGGCGGAGGAGGAGGAGAAATCATAATACGATCAAGAGTAAGACTACGAATAACAATAATACGAGTAACACTGATAATAATACTAGTGCGACATATTACTAGCAATAATGATAATACAAATGATGTTATTAATACGTTTAGCCAACGATAAGTTTATACATTGTACGAAGATGATACTATTACGAAGGTCGTATTACGAATAACGTACTAACAGGTCATATTCATACTAAGCGTACGGAACTATGTTCAAAACTTATGTGCTACAACCTGGCTGTACTCATAATAAGAGTAGTACTACTAATGCGATTACAAAAACTCATATGAGTAAAAACAAAGATAACACTCACAAACACTGCAAGACATGAAACAGGAGGAGGAAGGAGGGGAGGGAGGGAGGAAACGAAGGAGGACGAGGCGGCGGCGGAGGAGGAGGAGGAGGAGGAGGAGGAGGAGGAAGGGAGTGAGGGAGGGAGGGGAGGGAGGGAGAGAGGGAAGAGGAGGCGGACAGGCTCCCCTCGTGTAGACCGTCTCCGGGCCCTCCCACAAGGAGTGGACCCGTCTCCATGCTGGGGGAAGAGGCGGGCAGAACGGGGCCAGTACGCGGACGACTTCAGAGCGTTCCAGAACGCTGTCAGAGCGCTGAGAAACGCTGTGAGAAGCCCGCGGAGCCCGATACCCAGACCCACTCGAGTTTTTTTTTTTTTTTTTTTCGGCCTCCGGGGGCCCTTATTGGGCCTCGGGACCGTCAAAAAACGACTCGGGATGAAAAACCGGTCCCGGAGAAGGGGTCGGGACCTCTGGGGTCGACGTTGTGAAAACATAGCAACGTCGGGGGTCTGGGTACAGCCTCCAGAGCGGGTGAGGGGCGATGAAAGGGGGGGGGGGGGGCAGCGAGGGCTTTTTTGGTATAGGGCCCTGTTGGGCCCCAGAGGGGACCTAGAATAGGCCGGGTCGGAAACGTGCCCCTTCCTCCGCCCCCCGGGCCCGCTCCCTTAAGATCCCCCCCCCTGGAGCGACGCCCGGGAGTTACCAGCCTCAAACGTATCCCTATCCCTAAGATTGACACGCCAAAAGGCGATGACACTCTCAGGGACTCGCCCTCAAAACATAGGGGAATCCCTGAGATTGGCATCGTGACGAGGAGGTGCCCAGCCTAGGGGTAGGGGTACGCTCCAGGCTGGTAAGGGAGTCCTCCTCGCCCTCGCCCGGTGCCTGCTCCTCGCCCGGGCCTCCTCTGCGGGGCGGGAGCGCTATCGCCCTGCCGGCCCGGGGCGGCCGGCGGGCACACCGCCGCGCGCGCCCTCTGCGCCCTCTGCGCCCCTGCCGCGCGAGAGGCCCCGCGCCCGCGCGGCGGCTGGGCTTCTGGCGCTGGGCCCTCGGCCTGCCCCCCCGCGGCGCCGCGGCCGGCGCGCGAGGCGCCCCCCGCGGCGGGCCCGGCGGCGGCGGCGGCAGCCGCGCGAGGGCGGCGGCGGCGGCGGCGAGGCCTCTGCGGCGATACGGCGGGTCGCCGACGTCGGCGGCGTCGGCGGCGTGGCTCAGCGGCGGCGGCGGCAGAGCCACGCCGCGCACGAGGGCGGCGGCGGCGGCGGCCGAGGGGGGCTGCAGGGGAGGAGGCCCGCAGGGCCCCGGCAGGGGGGCCCAGACGGGGCCCAGACGGGGGCCTTCCGGGCCCGAGCCGTGCGCACCTCTCTCTCTCTCCCTCCCCCCCCCAGCATCACCGCCCCCCACGGAGCGACGCCCAAACGACGACACCCCCCGACAAGGAGGGCGGCGGCGACGACGACGAGCCCCGGCGACGACGGCGACGGCGGCGGCGACGCAGACGGCGCTGCCAGGGCGCCCTCGAGGGCGCAAAGTGATTAGCGCTTCGCGCTTTGCGGTTCGGCTCCGATTCCTCCTCATCCTCCTCTTCTCCCCTGGGGGCGGCGCGAGAGCGCCAAGTTCATCGCGCTTCGTGCAGCGCGAAGCGCGAACCTAGGAGCCCTTGACGCTGACGACGACAGCGGCACCGGCGCCGTTCACGAGAGCGGCGACGGCGGCGGCGCGGTCAATCAGGAGGACGGCGGCTGCCGCGGCGCCGCCGAGCCTTCGGGATCTTGTTCGGGCTTGGTGCGGCTGGCCCGGGCTTGGACACGGACCACTTCTCGCAAGTATCATCCGCCCTGGCCTTCATCTGACCCTTCGTGCCGTCGCCTGGTGTGACTGCCTATGATATCGGCGGTGATGCCCTAGATCACGGGCGTGAGCCGCGCCACAGCCACCTCCATGATAGGCGGCGTCCGAACTCCGAGGCGGGGAACGGAAGGCTGAGCTCGGCGACTAAGCGCGGTTGATTCGGGGCGAGGGGGAAATAACCAATTGTTGGCAAATGCGATGGGTGTAATGATGGCGATGCAGGTGACGCGCCTTCGATTTAGCGACGACGCGTGATGACCACGTTGCGTTGCGATGCAATGTCGTTGTCGTTCTCACTGCCGACCTCGCTTTCGATATCACTATCGATCTCGCTGTCGACCTCTCGATCTCACGATCAAACTCGATCACGCAATCGATTTTCTTATCGATACCACTACTGATCTCACAATGGATCTCACGAGCTACCATCGAGGCACCACGGCGGGGCACCGACGGAGCACCCCGCGCCACCGACGGGGCACCCCGCGCCACCGACTGGGCTCCCTGGGCACCAGCGCGCCCGGCGGGCGGGGGGGCGGTCAAACGGTTTCATACCCACGGCTGCATCATTCCTCTCGCGCGCGCCCGCGCAGCTTCGCCTCGCCCGCCCGCACGGCACGAACACGAAACCGACGCCGATTTCCAGGGGGGGGCTCTCCGTTCCATGGCGATCTCACCCCCCAACCTCCGATCTGGACCGCTTCACGAAGCTCGACGGGACTGTAGATGTCGAGGTCGAGGGAGGTCTGGGTCATGGCCATGCGCGGTCCTGGACGTGCTGGAAGGGAAAGAAAGACACAGACGCACTTTTAATCGTCGGCTCCCGGAAAAACATGGGAAGATATTAGATGAACGAAGAATGAGCTAAGTATAAAAAACCAGAGGTCCGCGCGAATTTCTCAGATCGGCGCTGGCACCCCCTCCCTGGCGCGCGGAGCGCGCCAGGGGCGGCGCCGGAGGCGCCGCCAGGGCGGTCCAGTGCCGATCGGAGAGGTCCGCGCGGACCTCCGAGTTTTAATGTTTAAGTCATTCTTCGTTCCCCTGTGAAGCGGAAGAGAAGACGACAACCCAGAAGACGTGGGAATTACATGGGAAATCCCGGGATGTGTGTGCGTGTGTGTGTGTGTGTTTGTGTGTGTGTTTGTGTGTGTGTTTGTGTGTGTGTGCGTGTGTGCGTGTGTACGTGTGTGTGCGTATGTGTGTGTTCGTGTGAGTAAGTGACTGAGTGAGTGTGTGTGTGTGTGAGTGTGTGTGAGTGTGTGTGTGTGAGTGTGTGTTTGTTTGTGTGTTTGTGTGTCTGTGTGTCTGGATCTGTGTCTGATCTGTGCCTGTGCCTGTGCCTGCTCCTGTGCCTGTGCCTGTGGGTGTGTGGGTGTGTGGGTGTGTGGGTGTGTGGGGGTGTGTGGGGGTGTGTGGGGGTATGTGGGGGTATGTGGGTGGTGTATGTGGGGGTTGTGGGGGGTGTGTGTGGGGGTGTGTTGGTGTGTGTGGGTTGGTGTGTGGGGGTGTGTGTGGGTGGTGTGGGTGTGTGTGTGGGTGTGTGTGTGTGGGTGTGTGTGGGTGTGTGTGTGGGTGCGTGTGGGTGTTGTGTGTGGTGGGTGTGTGTGTGGGTGGGTGGTGTGGTGTGTGTGTGTTGTGGTGTGGGGTGGTGGGTGTGGGTGTGGGTCGTGGTGTGTGTGGGTTGTGGGTGTGGTGTGGGTGTGGGTGTGGGTGTGGGTGTGGTGTGGGTGTGGGTGTGGGTGTGGGTGTGGGTGCGGGTGCGGGTGTGGGTGTGGGTGTGGGTGTGGGTGTGGGTGTGGGTGCGGGTGTGGGTGTGGGTGTGGGTGTGGGTGTGGGTGCGGGTGTGGGTGTCGGTGTGGGGGTGTGGGGGTGTGCGTGTGTGCGTGTGTGCGTGTGCGTGTGTGTGTGTGTGTGTTTGTGCGTGCGTGCGTGCGTGCGTGCGTGCGTGCGTGCGTGCGTGCGTGCGTGCGTGTGTGTGTGTTTGTGCACGGATGGTTATGGCGGCCAGTTGCTGCGTGACCCTAAGCGGTCACTGAGGCTTCGGGCGATTACGCGCGCGCACGCTTTGCTGGTTTCGACCTTCTCCGCCTCGACGCTGCGCGCGAGGCCGCGACGCCAACAAATGTGTGCGTGTGTGTTTTCATGCCAATGTTCGGCGGCGAGCCCGAGGGGGAAGGGAGAAGGGGCGGACCTTTTCAGAAGGCTCGGACGTCCCCCGGCCTTCTGAGAAGCTTTCCGAGCCTTCCCCGAAGACAGAACCCCTCAGAAGGCGCGAGGGCTGCTGAGAAGTCGTGCCGCCTTTGGCAAGGCCGCCTCCCTCTCATGTCCCCCCCTCGCTCGCCGCCGAAATGCTCGCTCCTCCAGGTCAGCCCGCACAGCAGAGATGAGCGGCTCTCAAAGGCCGCCCTGGCATCCCTCCCCTTCGGCCCATCCTTTTGGACGCCCGAAATGGGTACGGAAAGAGTGGGTACGATGCCCAACAGCAGTTCTTGTCCATTCTGAACAGGGCTCGCTGTCGGTGTCGCCGCGGCCTGTGTCCACTTGAAACAGAAGGCCGCCCGCCCAACAGCGGCCGCTGTTGGTTTGGGACAACATGTGTTGTTGGGCATCGTACCCATTCTTTCCGTACCCATTTCGGGCGTCCAAAGCCGCTGGGCCGCGCGCGGCCGCCTTCCGCCGAGCGTGACGTCGGGCGTGGCGCTCGACAGGAGGAATGTTCAAAACTGGTTTTTTATAACATCGTCTGGGGGCGACTCGTTTTTGGCATGTTGTAGTGTTTTGTTTTGGGGCAGATTTGGGTTCTTTCCGTACCCATTGCGGGCGTCCGAAAATCCTCGGCCGCGCCTCCGCCGGCCGCGCCCCGCCCGCTCGCAGGGTGCCGGCACGGCCCCCCGAGGCCCTTTTTTTGCATCCTCGCCGCGCGTCGCAGGAGGGAAACAGACACGCCCACACACACACACAATTCCTCGTCGACTCCCAGGAGAATATGGGAAAATATGGGAAGTGGGGGGGAAGACAACACCCCTGACAAATATGGGAAAGCATGGAGAAGCCTGTGATTTGTGTGTATTTGTGTGTGTGTGTGTGTGTCCCGGGGCCCCTTCAGCGTGCTTCTCCTCAGAATCGCTCGGGCCTGCACGCACCTTTCTCGGCGGGCACCGTCGAGGAGCCTCCTGTAGATCGCCTCGCGAGGAAAAACAACTCACGCACGAGACCGAAAAAAAGCACCAGGAGGGAACGACATCCGAGCGTTGTAGACAGGTGCGAGCTCCCGAAGACGAGGACGTCCGCGACGACGGACGACACACGACGACGACGTCGACGACGACGACGGCGGCGGCGGCGGCGACGACGACGACGACGACGGCGGCGGCGGCGGCGACGACGACGAGAACCACGACGACGACGACGACGACGACGACGACGACGAGGACGGCGACGGCGGCGGCGACGGCGGCGGCGACTACGACGACGACGACGACGACGACGACGACGACGACGACGACGACGACGACGACGGCGGGCGGCCCGCAGGCGCCCCGGCGGAGGCCGTGCTGCGCGCCGCGGCGCGCGTGGACGCGCAGGCGAGCCGGCGCCTGGCTGCAGCTCGGGGGGTCCTTGTCAGCGGCACCTCCTCCTCCTCCTCTTCCTGCTCCTCCTCCTCCTCCTCGCTCCTCGCTCCTCCTCGCTCCTCCTCCTCCTCGCTCCTCCTCCTCCTCCTCCTCCTCCTCCTCCTCCTCCTCCTCCTCCTCCTCCTCCTCGCTCCTCCTCGTTCCTCCTCGTTCCTCCTCCTCCTCCTCCTCCTCCTCCTCCTCCTCCTCCTCCTCCCGGCGGCGAGCGAGGGGGGGAAGGGAGAAGGAGAAGGCCTGCTCAGAAGGCGGCGGGACTTCTCAGAAGCCCTCGCGCCTTCTGAGAAGTGTTTTGTGTCTTCGGGGAAGGCTTAGAAGACTTCTCAGGAGGCCGGGGAACTTCCGAGCCTTCCGAGAAGCCCCGCCCCTTCTCACTTCCCCCCCTCGCTCGCCGCCAATTCAGCGGCACCGTAAGGGGTGCTCGCTTACGATGTGGAATCGGGGTTGGACAGAACCACACTTCCGGAGCATGCGCGCACACACTTCCGAACCGGATCGGGCAGGCCAGAATGGATGTCGAGGCGGATCGATCGGGTCGAGATGGGCCCTTGAGGGGGAGCTTGCCAGCCTCGAACGTGTATCCCTGTCCCTAAGATTGGCACGCCAAAAGGCGATGACAATCTCAGGGATTCGCCCTCAAAAAATAAGGGAATCCCTAAGATTGGCATCGTGATGAGGAGGTGCCCAGTTTAGGGATAGGGATATGTTCCAGGCTGGTAAGGAGCCTCAGTTGCAGCAGGAAGCCACGGAATGAACAGAGACTTCCAGAGGTCCGCGCGGATCTCTTGGATCGGCGTTGGGCACCCCTGGCGCCGCCCCTGGCGCCGCCCCTGGCGCCGCCCCTGGCGCGCCCCGCGCGCCAGGGATGGGGGTCCCGCGCCGATCCAAGAAACCCGCACGGAGCTCTGGTGTCCTCTTCTATGCAGCTAAGCCTCCCTTTCAGTGGCCCATCTCGATCCGATCGATCCGAGGCGACATCGATTCTGGCCTGCCTGGGCCGATTCGAGCCCGATGCTCCCGCGATCCGATACGGCCCGATGTTTGCATGGCGCTGTTCGGACGGGGCTATAAATCTGTTCCCTTCTCTTCCTCCTCCTCCTCCTCCTCCTCCTCCTCCTCCTCCTCCTCCTCCTCCTCTTGATCAATTTAGCCGGCGCAGCGTTTCACCCATTGCTGTCTGTGATTTCTTGACCTTGTTTTCCTGCCCACGCGCCGGACGGCGTATGGCTTGTGAGTGAGTGAGTGAGTGAGGGCGTTCCGGAACGCTCTCGGAGGGTTCCGAAACGCTCTGAGAAGGCTGCGGCGCCCGAGACATTCTCCAGAGCCGCCGCATCTCAGTGCAGAGATCCCCGGTAAATTATCTTCACCCGATGTTAGTCTCGTCCTGGCTTCGTCTTAGGCCCCCATTGAAGGCTCACGGGGCGCCCCTGCCGCAGCCGCCGACCGATGATGATGGTGACATTGAGGATGATTGTGATGATGATGATGATGATGATGATGATGATGATGATGATGATGATGATGATGATGATGATGATGATGGTGGTTGCGATGACGACGCCATCATCGTCGCCATCGTCATCGTCATGGGTATCCCCACCCGCCCCACCTCGGATCGGCGCCATGCGAGGGCCTGCTGCAGCTGAGCCACGGCCTCGCGGGCACGCCGCACGGCCTGCAGGCGCTTCGGGGGGGGGGGGGCAACCCGGGGGGAAGCGCCTCCTGCGCTCGCCCTGCCCGTCCTCGGGGGGGAGGGGAGGGTCAGTGGGAGGGCCAGTGCTGCCAGGGAAGAGTACCCTTACGTCGGGCGTGTCCCTCTACAGGAGGAGTATTCCATAATAATTTGTTTGGAAAAAGAATGTGGGGACGATTCTCGTATTATTTTCTGACATCTTTCAATGTGTGTTCACCATTTGTTTAGAGTTTTCGTCCAAAAAACCCGAGGAGGACATGCCCGACCTAAGGCTAGAAACTCGCGCCAGGACCTCGACATCTAAGATCCAGTCGAGGGTTCAGCAGTCTGGATAGGTCTATAGGTATGAACTTTGCAGCCGCCCTAGTGCAGGCGTCCCCGACGGCGGAAAAGTGTATCTCATGCCGTTCGTCGCCCGCTAAGTCCGAGGCGTGTCAGTCGAGCCAGGGAAACGTGAGCATGCATCAAGGCGCGTGGATGATGTAGCGGCGGGTCTGGTTTCCCCAGCCAGAGGGGTACGCTACGTCGCCGGATGAGGCGGCAATGGTCTCACGCTTCGGGGACACTTTTCCCCGATCCATGGATCTGGCGCCCGCGCGCCAGAGTTAAGTCGGGCATGTCCCTCGACAGGAGGAGGATTCAGAAGTAGTCAAATCACAGTCCGGGGGCGATGGTTTGGCTATGCTTGACCACGTTGGAGCACTTTTTGACCATGGTTCCTTTTTCGTCCAAGATCTCCCTGTAGGAGGACACGCCCGACGTAACGCCAGAGCCGCCGACCCCTGATCCTCATCAGTGTGTGTTTTGTGTTGTGTGCTGTGTGTGGTGCGTTCTGCGTTGTGTGTTTGTGTGTTGTGTGTGTTGTGTGTTGTGTGTGTTTGTGTGCGTGTGCTTGTGAGTACGTGTTTGTGTGTGTGTGTGTGTCCGAGAGAGTCTGTGTCTGTGTGTGTGTCTCTGTGTGTTTGTGTATTTGTGTGTTTGTGTGTGCTTGTGGTTGCGTGTGTGTTTGTGAGTGACTGCGTCGGTGTTTGTGTGTGTGTGTGGTTGTGTCTGTGTGTGCGTCTGTCTGTGTGTGTGCGTGTGTCTTTGAGTGTCTGTGTCAGCGCTTGCATGTGTGTGCGTGCGTGTGTGTGTGTATGCGTGTGTGTGTGTGTGTGTCTGTGTGTGTCTGTGTCTGTGTCTGTGTGCGTGTGTGTGTGTATGTGTGTGTGTGTGTCTGTGTCTGTGTGTGTCTGTGTGTGTGTCTGTGTGCGTGTCTGTGTGCGTGATTGTTTGTGTCTGCGTGCTTGTCTTGATTCAGCTCGTTGCTGCGCGCGAGGCCGCGATCGCCAACGAGTGTGTTTGTGTGTAGTTATATGCATGTGTCTGTGTATGTGAGTATGTGTTTGTCTGTGTGTGTCTGTGTGCGGGTATGTGTGTGTGTGCGTATGTGCCTGTGTGTGTCTGTGTGCATGTGTGCGTGTGTTTGTTGAAGCGGTGTGTAATAGATAATGGTTGTGATGTTTTTTTTTTTTGCTTTCTGGGCGTTTCTTCGGCTGCCTCCGCCGCTTAGGTGCGCGCATGGCCGCTGCGCCGGCAAATAGTGTGTGTGTGTGTGTGTGTGTGTGGGTGCGTGGGTGCGTGGGTGCGTGCGTTTGCGTGCGACGAGGGGGGGACGAGGAGGGGACGGGCACAGAGGGGAGGAAAGGGAGTGCGCAGAGAAGTCGGGCAACGTCCAGGGCGGAGAATGGACAAGCGAAATGGAAGAGCGCCCTGCAGGAAATGAGCTTGTGGGAGGAGGGGGAGGACGAACGGGGGGGGCAAGGGTAAGGGGAGAAGGACCGCGAGCAGGACCAGTTCGGACCATGAGGAGGAGAGGGAGGAGGAGGAGGCGAAGTAGGAGGAGGCGAGAACAAAAGCGAGGACGTCGACGTCGCCGACGTCTGCGGGGTATATGTCGTTCTGTCCAAGCCGTTGGGGCGTACCGTACACACCGCACCTGGGCCGAGGATGGACCGTCTCGAGCTGACGGACGGCCGACAAGGCGACGATGCGAACAACCCTCCGTTCTTTATGGGTAGTCGCTGAGTTCGGTTCCTGGGGGCCCTGGTGGGGATGTTCTTTTGGCCCTCTTGGGCCCTCTCGGCTCTTTTGGCCCTCTTGGGCCCTCTCGGAGGTATCACTGTCCGTCTTGAGACCGTCTTGGGCCCTCTCGGAGGCATCTCGTGCCTTCTGGGCGGCGTTGGGCCTGCCCGAGCCACCTTGCAAGCTCTGGAGCGCGGATCCCTTGTCCTCTGGAAGGAAGTGCGGCGAGCACCGACCCATGGTGCTCCACGAAGGGTGGTGGCCTCGGGAGAAGAGACATGCACGCGCCAGTCTGCTAATAGAGGGGAAGTATTGCTTCGAAGATTCAAGAAGCCCTGCCAGAAAGATTTCGGTATGTTTCAGAGCGTGAATTACCTATCCCGCTTTCGCTTCCAGGCAAAACCAAGTCATACCACACGCCTCCTTGTCAAGCGGCCTAACCAGTACAGGCCGTAGTCTGGCATCGCTTGGTATCTCTTGGAAGCGAGGGTGGTCACAAAGCGAGGTAGGTTTGTTTTCCCCTTAATTATACCGGGTCTCAGTGTGGGCATGGTGGCGGAATGCCTCTGCGATCTGGAATTGCGGCCAGGCAGAACAGACATAGCATGGCGAAGTACCCCACCATATGCATTTGTGAGTGCCGTCGGTGTGAGTATCGCCTTCGGTGGATCTCCTCTGATGGGTCCACGAAGCGCGTGAAGGGTGTGCCGAAACGAGGCGCACTCTACCACGGGGCCTCAGGTGGAGCCCCCTGTGGGGCCACGAAGCGTGTGAGGGGCTCGCCGAAATCGAGGTGGAGCCGCATGTGGGCGCTGTTCTGGTGGCCTCAGGTGGAGCTCCCTATGGGGCCATGAAGCGTGTGAGGGGTGCACCGAAACAGGGGGTGGAACTGCATGCGGGCGCTGCCGCTGGGTCCTTCGGTGGAGCTCCCTATGGGGCCACGAAGCGTGTGAGGGGTTCGCCGGAATGGAAGGTGGAACCGCATGCGGGCACTGTGGGGCCTTCAGTTGAGCAATCTGTGGGACCACGAGACGTGCGAGGGAATCGCCGACATGGCAGGCGGAACTGCATGCGGGCGCTGCTTCTGGGGCCTTCGCTGGAACCCCCTATGGTGCCACGCAGCGTGTGAGGAGTTCGCAGAAATGGAGGGTGGAACCGCATGCGGGCGCTGCCGCAGGGGTCTTAGGTGGAGCTCGTCATGGGGCCACGAAGCGTGTGAGGGTTTCGCCGGAATCGAAGATGGAACCACATGCGGGCGTTGTCATTGGGGCATCAGGTGCAGCTCCCCATGTGGCCATGACACGTGTGAGGGATGCACGGGAATGGGGGTGGAATCGCAAGCGGGCGCTGCCACTTGGGCCTTCGGTGGAGCTCCCTATGGGACTACGGCGTGTAAGGGGTGTGCCAAAACAGTGGCATGCGGATGGTAAAGGCAGGGATGGGATCTGGGATGGGAGTAGGGAGGAGGGGGAGGAGGAGGGGGAATGAAGGAAGGAACGGCAAAAAGAAAGGAAGGAAGGAGACGCGGGGCGCTTTCCCTTCAAAACGAGGACCCAACTCCGCAGCCACAGGATGGTTTTGAACAGAGGCCCGCGAGATCACAGCCCGAGGCCTCTCTGGCTGCGCCTGGCGCCCTCGTGTCTCATCCTCACCTCGTCCTCCCCCCCCCCTCCATCGTTTCCCCCCCTCCAGAAGAGGGGGTCCGTCCATGGTGGATCTGTGAGGTCCCCGGGGGGGGGGGGCTCTGGGGGGGGAGATTTTGGGTGGCCAAGACAAAACGCAGACACCTCGAGACTTCGGGGAGGGAGATTTTGGGGTAGGGTGTTACCAGGGTGACGACGACGACGACCGCAAAACATACCCCGAAATCTTTGGCCGATCTTCGAATCCTCGGCGAATCCGCGATTTTGAGATTGGGGATGTGTTTTTTCGTGGTCAGGGAAGGGCCGCGCGCGCTCGGCCGAGGTGGCCGCCGCAGCGCTGGAGAGGCCCGCGGGACCCGCGGCGGGCGGCGGGTGGGTGGCGTGCTGGCCGTGGGCAGCCGCTCTCTGCGCGTGTGCCGGGGGGGGAAGGGGGGGGGCCCTGAGAGCTCCAAGATGCGGGACGGGCAAATGACCACAGCCACTGCTTCTTGTTTGCGCCGCCTTCCAGCCGGCCGAAAAAGAAGCAGTGGTTGTAGTCATTTCCCTGGTGCCAAGCTCAACGAAAATGACCACAACCACTGCTTTGTTTCTGCGGGCTGGAAGGCGGCAACAAAAGAAAAGCAGTGGCTGTGGTCGTTTTCACGCCCCGTACAAGAGGCCCAAAGCCATAGTTTTGTTTCCGGCGGGTGTTGCAGGATTTTGGCGTTCTCGCTTGTTCGGGGTTCGAACGCTCCCAGGCGGCCCAAGCGGCCGCCAGGATTGCCCCAGGACAGCCCCAGAGGCCCCCGAGGAGGGCCCCGAAGAGCGGCGCTCGCGTCGGCGGAGGACTCGACGGCGCCGCGATGGCGGTGGGCTTCCAGCTGGCCCTCCACGAGCCTCGCCGGGCACTCGACCAGGTGGTGGTCTGTCGGCCAGTCCTGCAGACGGGGTTTCTGGTAGGCGTTCAGCTGGGCCATGTTCGGTAGGCGTTCGGCTGGGCCACGTTCGTGAGAGCGTGAATTACCTACCCCGCTTTCCCTTCCAGGCAGAACCAAGTCATACCACGCGCCCCCTCGTCAAGCGGCCTGGCAAGTACAGGTCGTAGTCTGGCATCGCTTGGTATCTCTTGGAAGCGAGGGTGGTCAAAAGCGAGGCAGGTTTGTCTGCCCCCTGGTTCGGTAGGCCTTCAGAGCCTGGCGCAGTCGGGGTGGCGTAGTGCGCCCAAGCCACGGAGGCGGGGCGGCGGCGGGCCCGCGGGCGGGCCCGCACCATGGCCGCAAGGTCTGTCCGGACGGCGCTCTCGCCCCGGCGCGGGCAGCATGTGCCGGCGTCACCTGCACGCCGTGGCTCGGGTCGGGCGAAAGGGGGGGATTGGGAAAGGGGGGGTTACGAACTTTGCTGCATGCAGCTGGTTTCGGCCTCACCGAGGGGCCCATTCCTCGATACATAGCCGCCTCCGGCGCCGGGAGGCGCCGGGAAAATCAGCTACGTGAGCTGATTCTCAAACCCCCCCTTTGCTATCCCCCCCTTTCGCCCGACCCGAGTGGCCAGTTCAAGAGCGGATCGTGAGGATGTCTCTCAAGCAGGGGCGAAGCGTCTTGGCTTCCCTATATCAAGAAGTGGCGGAGCGTCCCGGCTCGCCCAGAAGCCCACCGAAGACTCGTCTATAGGGCTGAGGACCTTTTGTGGTCCGCGCGAGGTGTGCTTAGAACCTTTCTGGCTGTGACTGCTCTGTTTCAACACATCGGGTTTATGTCCCAATATCATTTTGGTATTAGAACATTTTTGGGTTCTAGGAACATGTCGCGGTAGGCCTCTAGGACTTAGTGGGCCCCGGAAACGACAGGGCAGTTTTTTTACCGGTTCCGTTTTGCTGTTTGTTTGCCGGTTCCGACGCCGTTTTTACCGGTTCCGTCGCCGTTTTGGACCGGTTCCGGCCCCGGGCCAAATCCTGGAGCTGTTTTGTTGCCGTTTTTGTTGCCGCTTTCACTTTCAAGGCACGCTTTTTCGGCAACGGTGAAGAAACTGCCCTGCCGTTTCCGGGGCCCACAAAGCTCCACCCACCAAACCTTCCCAACCCAACCCGAAGGCGCAGATATACCCTCGATTTCCAGTGGGGGGGGGTCGGGAAACATTGAAAAAACACATGTGGAACCCTTACCCCCCCCAACCCGAAATTCGGGTCTTCGGGTTGGGTTGGGGTGGTCTGGTAGGTAGTCAACAAAGCTCTAGGAATGCCGGGGCGGTCGGTCCCTGCTCGAGTCTCGGCCGGGGGGCGCTCGGCCCTTCTCGCGGAGCCGCCGGAGCCCGAAGCGCGGGCGGGGGGGTCCGTGCGCCCAGGCAGAGGGGGCGCGGCGGCGGCGGGTCCGCCGGCGGGCACGCCGGCGGAGACAGGAGTACGTCGGGCCTGTCCTTTGTTCAGGAGGGAAACAAACACACAGACATAATGAATCGTCGGTTCCCCCGAAAATGTGGAAAACCGGAGGTGAGGGGGTTAGATCGAAGTGGAACGGAGAGCCCCCCTATCGGGAAATCGATTTCGGTTTCGTGTTCGTGCGTGCCGTGCGTGCGGGCGAGGCGAAGCTGCGTGGGCGGGCGAAGGGAAAGTCTCCTGTGGCTGAGGCGCGGCCGGACCAAATGATTTTCCACCGGGCGGCTGGTGGCGCGCGGTGTCGCGCTGGTGTCCCGGTGGTGTCCTCTGTGGCTGAGGCGCGGCCGGACCACATGATTCTCCACCGGGCGGCCGGTGGCGCGCGGTGTCCCGCCGGTGTCCCGCCGGTGTCCCGTCGGTGTCCCGTCGGTGTCCCGATCATGATGTTGATGATGATGATGATGATGATGATGATGATGATGGTGATGGTGATGGTGATGGTTATGATGTTGATGATGGCGATGATGATGATGATGTTGGTGTTGTTGATGATGAAGATGACGTCGATTGTGAGATCGATTGTGATATCGATAGTGAGACTGAATGTGAGATCGATTGTGAGATCGATCGATTGTGAGATCCATAGTGAGATCGATAGTGAGACCGAATGAGAGACCGAATGTGAGATCGACTGTGAGATCGATTGTGAGATCGTTAGTGAGATCGACAGTGAGACCGAATGTGAGACCGAATGTGATATCAATTGTCAGATCGTTTGTGAGATCGTTTGTGAGATCGATTGTGAGATCGATTGTGAGATCGATAGTGAGATCGATAGTGAGGTCGACAGTGAGACCGAATGTGAGACCGAATGTTAGACCGAATGTGAGATCGACTGTGAGATCGATTGTGAGATCGATAGTGAGATCGACGGTGAGACCGAATGTGAGACCTAATGTGAGATCAATTGTGAGATCGATTGCGAGATCGACTGTGAGATCGATTGTGAGACCGATCGTGTGATCGATTGTGAGATCGATAGTGAGATCGATAGTGAGATCGAATGTGAGACCGAATGTGAGATCGATTGTGAGATCGATTGTGAGATCGATAGTGACATCGATAGCAAGATCGATAGTGAGACCGAATGTGAGACCGAATGTTAGATCGACTGTGAGATCGATTGTGAGATCGTTAGTGAGATCGACAGTGAGACCGAATGTGAGACCGAATGTGAGATCGATTGTGAGATCGATTGTGAGATCGATTGTGAGATCGATAGTGGGATCGATAGTGAGATCGACAGTGAGACCGAATGTGAGACCGAATGTGAGACCGAATGTGAGATCGACTGTGAGATCGATTGTGAGATCGATAGTGAGATCGACGGTGAGACCGAATGTGAGACCGAATGTGAGATCGATTGTGAAATCGATTTTGAGATCGACTGTGAGATCGATTGTGAGACCGATAGTGTGATCGATTGTGAGATCGATAGTGAAATCGATAGTGAGATCGAATGTGTGACCGAATGTGAGATCGACTGTGAGATCGATTGTGAGATCGATAGTGAAATTGACAGTGAGACCGAATGTGAGACCGAATGTGAGATCAATTGTCAGATCGATTGTGAGATCGATTGTGAGATCGAGATCGATAGCGAGATCGATAGTGATATCGATAATGAGATCGAATGTGAGATCGATGGCGAGATCGATTGAGTGAGACGTTGGTTCCCCCTCCCCCCTCACCTCCTTATCACCCGCAGGGTGGTCGTTTAGGTATGGGAAGTGGGGGGGAAGACAGAAACCCAGAAAATATTGGAAAATACAGGGAATCGGGATATTTGTGTGTCCCAGTTCCCCTTCATTTGTGGGCCCCGGAAACGACAGGGCCGTTCTTTTACCGGTTCCGATTTGCCGTTTTTTTGCCGGTTCCGACGCCGTTTTTTTACCGGTTCTGTCGCCGTTTTTGGACCGGTTCCGGCCCCGGTTCCGGCCCCGGTTCCGATCCTGGAGCCGTTTCTGTTGCCGTTTCCGGTCGCCGTTTGTTTGCCGTTTCCATTTCCAAGGGACATTTGTTTGGAAACGGTGAAAAAACGGCCCTGCCGTTTCCGGAGCCCACAAAGGGCCTGTCCCCCTACAGGAGGAATATTCCCAAAAAGTCAAGCATTATTTTGCTTCGAGCGATCCCCACCGAACCCTTCGGCGTTTGGTCCCAACGGTGCGCGCGCCTACTGGAAGGATGTGCGCGGTGCCAGGCGGCGTCGGCCAGCGCGGCGGCCGGGCCAGGTCGCCAGTTGATGCTTTCCCCTAATTCTAACAAGCCCAAGGCCACTGACGAAAACAAAACCAAACCCAAAACGCTTTTTGCGATGACTCCAAAACTTGTTCTGAGGTAGTATCAACCTCCGGTAAGAGGAAGAGGAGGAACAGCAGCAGCACCACGAGGAGGAGACGGACGACGAAGGACGAGGAGGAGGAGGAGGAAAACGGAGGTGAGGCGGACCTCTCCTTCCTCCTCCTGTTCCTCCTCATCGTCCTCGTTCCTCCCCCTCCTCCTCCTCCTCCTCCTCCTCCTCCTCCTCGTCCTTCGTTCCCTCCTCCTCGCCCTGTTCTTCGCCCTCTTCCCTCATCATGCGCCTCGCCCCCCCTCCTCTTCCCCCTCGCCCTCGTCTTCTTGGCTCCCCCGAGCATGCGCGGGGCGCGCGGCGGCCCCGGGCGGAGCCCCCCGGCACGTGGGCATCCGAAATCCATGGGTGCACGTTCTCTCATATATGTCACTATTTGGTTGGAGATACTATGGTATGATCTGCGTTGTGGCACTATGTTATTGTATGACATGTTGACATTTCATGTTATGGTATGCTTTGTTCCGTGATGTTGTTGGCGGCTCGGCTCAGCACATTATGTTATGATGTGTTCGGTTAGACGGCTTCGCAATGCCATGGTGCATTGTTTGGATATGGTGTGTAATTTTGTGTTATGATGTGATGTGTCATACCACCGTGTGCTGTCATGCTTGGTTGTATTATGCTACGTTGCGTTACGTTGTCGTCGGTTACATCATGGTATGATTTGGCATGTTATGTGGTGCTGTGTTTGTGGACGGTTCGGCACAGTATCCTATAAGTATTATGACATGCGATTCTACTACGGTGCGATATGCGACACTGCCGTGCTATCTATGTTCTGCGATGACGTGCGATGATGTGGGATGTTCGGCCAAGGAGTATGATGCGTTCGTCGGTGATGCTATGTGATGTTGTGACACGTCGTATTTTGTTTTACCGTGCTATGATATGATGTGCTATTCGATGTTATCGCATGCGTTTCCCTGTGTCATGTCATTGATATATTGCGCTATGCCATGCTGAGGCATGGTCTTGCGTTGTTATGTTGTTTTTTTTCTGCTGTTGCATGTTGTGTTCAGACGCGGTCGCTGCTATGTGCTGCGGTCGTATTATGAGACGCTCGGTGACGCAAAGTCGTGATATGATATGTCCAGTCAATGTGTATGACTTCATTATGTGCTGAGTTATATAATGGTGTGTTATGCCTTTATCTGTCCTGTCATGTTTTGCTATGGGAAGTAATGTGATATGTTGGTGCCCTCTATTTTGTCATGCTATTATTGCTGTGTTCTGTTTTGCCATGTTCTGTCATGTTATTGCTCTGTTCTGTCGTGTTCTTTCCTGTTGTGTCATGGGGCGCGAAGCGGGACACCCGCAATTCTTGGGAGAATTTGGGGTCTGGCGGCCGCGGAATGCAGGGTGTTCTGTCGTGGTTGTCGAGAGCGCGATGCGGGATAACCGGGGTTTTCGGGACAACTTGGAGTCTGGCGGTCGCGGTATGCAGGATGTGTTCTGTCGTGTTCGACGTGGGCGCGAAGCGGGATAACCGGGACATTCGGGACAATCTGGGGTCTGGCGGCCGATGTATGCAAGGTTGGAGTGGACGGGAGGTCTGCTTATAAAATCTAACGGCCCCGCCGGCCTCGCCGGTGGGGAAATCGTTTGTGGTCGTTTTTTTTCGTACTGTTTGTTATGTGTGGGATTTGTTCGGGGTATTTTTTATTTTTCATCCCAAATCCGCCTGCACGTGGACAGGCCCGATCTAAGTATAGGAGTGAGACACCAATGCGTTTTCACCCAGGGGTTTCGTTGGTCGGCCATGTGAGCGGTGCAAGAAAAAACCGGTTCGACTGCGCCGACATTCGCGCGTACATTGCTCGCAAAAGGACGCGCGTAATTCAGCGCCCTCAGCGCTGTCGGCCCGCGTAAGCCACTACGTGAGATCGCTTTGGCATCTCGCGCAAAACTCGTTTTTGATCTTCCCTCATGCGTGGGTGATTCAAGGATGGGGTCCCGAGGGATTGGGTCTGGAGGACGAGGTCCAGAGGAGGAAATGGTACCCCCCTTCTGCTACCTTTCCCTCCCCCTTTTTTCGGGGCCTCCTGGGAGGCCTTCGTCGCCGCCGCGGAATTCGCCTCGAAATCTTGGTGGGAACGCACCCCGGGAGAGGTCCAGCGCTTGTTTTCCCCGAGAGGTCTTTCAAACAGCGTGGATCCACCCTTGGGACCCTTCCTGTCCTTCGACCCCATCCCTGAGGACGTCGTCTTTGAACCACCGGGTGCGCATCGCTCCTCACGCTGAGTATCGGAAGTGTTGCACAGTACTTCTCTCGCGTCTGTTGCGCGCACTCTCGCTTTCGCTGTCTTTCGCGGAGGCATGCGAGGTTGATCGTGTGTCCGTTTGCGTGCCTGGTTGATTCGCCTACAATTGTTTTGCGCACCTCAGTGCGTGTATGCTTGTTTGGTTGCATGCCTATCATGGCATTTTTAGTCCTTGGTGCATCGCCAATCGATCTTCGCAGTCGAGCTTGGTATACTTAGGGTGCCCATGCTCTTGCATAGCCAGTTCTCACCCGCATAGTCTCAGCTTATGTGTTATCCGAATAGGTGCTCTGCCGAAGCACTCATCACGATTCGACTTCATTGGTTCACAACCTGGAGCGATCAACGATTTGTGTGCTCATCTATTCGGGTAGTTGCCTTGGCCCGCACGTTTTGTGTATCAGCGATGTGTTTCCGCATATTCGTCTGAAACGTTTTCCAGAGTTTCGCGAGTTTCGCGGATGGAGGGCGAGAGATGCTCAACATGTAGGTCTCGCCATAGCGCCGAACTCATTGTTTTTGCTACAGTTTGCAATCGTTTCACGTCTGGAGGGCTTTACCTTTTCAAAATCTGATTATCCCTTCAGCGCTGCCCTCATTCGTAGTGAGAGTTCACAGCAGTTTCAAGGTTTCTTGTGCTTGACGTATCAGCAGTGTTGTTTGGGTAAGGTGCAGGACTGTCAGGGCGCAACAGTTACGTTGATTCGTGGCTTTGAAGACTCACGAGTGGTTTCTGGCACAGTTCAGGATTTTCAGACCGTTGTCTTCCAACAGGGCACTTCCTTTTGTGACAATCAATTCGTGCAAGGGCATACGGAGAGGGATTATGGAGGGAGGGTTGAATGCAGCAACGTTGACAAGTCTTGGGTTCGTGCTGGTCCTTCCCCTCCTTTACCGACTCTACCTCCACCCCCATCTCCTCCTCGTCCTCATTCTCCTCCTCCTCCTCCTCCTCCTCTCCCCTTCTTCTCATCCTCCTCCCATCTCCTCCTCCTCATCCTTATTCTCCTCCTCCTCCGCCCCCTTTCGCCGAGAGGCCTCCTTCTCCTCCTCCTCCTCCTACTCCTACTCCTACTCCTTCTCCTACTCCTCCTCCTCCTCCTCCTCCTCCTCCTCCTCTTCCTCCTCCTCCTCCTGCTCCTCCTCCTTCTCCTCCTCCTCCTCCTCATCCGACCTGGGCTGTAGGCAGCGGATTCCTGGGTCGGCCGCCTCCGCCTCCGCCTCCCGGGGCCCCGCTCCGCCGCTCAGGCTGGCCGCCGCGGCCGGCGAGGCCGCCGCCGGGGGCCTGCCCACGGACCGCGGCCGTGGCCTGCGCGCGAGCAGGGCGCCCCCTTTCGCCGAGAGGCCTCCTCCTCCTCCTCCTCCTCCTCCTCCTCCTCCTCCTTCACCTCCTCCTCCACCTCCCACCGTAGCCATTTTGGCTCAAGATGCTGAGTTCCTCAGGGGAACAAGTGGATACCGCTAGACCGCGGCAGTGCCAGGGCTGTTCAGCCCGACGCTTTCTCTCGAGACCTGTACGGGGAGCTGTGCGCTGCCGTCCAGAGCCTGTCAGCACGGACCGATGCCAGCGGGTCGCAGGAGCCCGTATTCGGTTTGCACATCGTGTGGGAACTGGGCGTTCGACTTCCGCATCAAGAAGAATGGGGGCATGTGCGGTGTCTGTTGGTCGCCTACCGATGTTCCCAAGTCCAAGAGTGGTGGTCAGGGTGACGGGGTTCCATGGCGCGATGGGCCACGTCATGGACGACCTGGGCAAGCTCTCGACACGTCGGCTTTCCTCGCGATGCTGGCGTCTTGCCCCGCCTTCAAGTCCGACCCCACGGCCATCGAGAAGTTGCAGTCCCAGAGTTCTCAGTACCAGAAGAGTCTGGTCAAACCGAAGGAACCGCACGGAGAGGTCCAGCAGCTCTACCGCGCGATGGAGCAGAAGCGTGCAGCTATGGAGTCGGCAGCGGAGCGAGCCACGGAGCTTCAGCAAGCTCTGGAGCGTGCCAATGCCGACGTCGCCATCGCATCTCAGCTATTCCTGGAGGCAGAGTCCAAGCACAAGTCTGCTGTCAAGAGGCTTGCGCAGCAAGCCGAAGTTTCTACGCAGAAGGAAGGGTACACCACTGACGGCAAGCGCATCCTCTTTGCCTTCGACGAGTCCCTCTTTTCGGACCTTTCGGACATCGACGGCGAGGCGCAGGCGCAGCTCGCACACATCGAGGCTGACATCAAGGCTAAGGTTGAGGAGGTTGCCAAGTTGCAGGCGACGGTCCTGGAGACAGCGGCGAAGGCTAAGGATATCAGGGCCTCACCGTCCAAGCGTTCCAGGATCGACGAAGAGGCTTGGGCTCCAGTCGCTCATGGAAGCCGCCAACAAGTATCGATCCAGAGCTGTCGGCCAAGCTCTCTCCAAGGCGCGTAGAGGGTATCAGTCGTGGGCATTGAAAATGTGGAAGTCTTCCCCCGGTGTGTTACACCGTCATGTGAAGGGAGACCTGAAGGTGAAGCCCGCGGAGCTCATACGAGGCAATGGTATCTACGCCACGCCCAACAACATGATGGACTTGCGGGCTGATGGATGGAGTGACATCTGGAGTGGTCCCAAGGCCGATCTGGACAAAGTTCGGGCAGGTTTCACGCACTTAAGGAGTAGGGCTCGTGCTGATCCACTGGGGGACATCACTCTTGAGGCTTTGGAAGCAGTTCTGTCGCGCTCCAGCGCCAAGAAAGCCAAAGGAGTGGATTCCTTGGGCCCCATCGAGCTGCAGCGACTGCCTGAGCCAGCCAAAGCTGAGTTGATCGGTTTACTTCATGCTGTTGAATCGCATTGTTTGTGGCCGCAGCAAATATTCATGGTCATTGCTGCTATCTTGCCGAAACCTAGAGGAGGTGATCGCATCTTGGGATTGCTACCTCACCTAGTTCGGCTGTGGGCCCGCCTGCGTAGCCAGCACACGTTGCACTGGAGCGAAGCCCTCGGGGAGCATTGGGATACAGCTGTTCGTGGTTCTTCGGCGCTGCAGGCTGCGCTGATCCGCTCCTGCATGGACGAGAGTTGCCGCGAGATGTGCATTGCCTCGTCGACGCTTCCCTTGGATCTGGAGAAATTCTACGGCAGCTTGTCCTTCTCATTGCGTTGTGTCCCAGCCTTGCATCAAGGGTTTCCTCCTCGAGTTCTGGCTCTCGAGGTTCAGATGTTCATGGCCCCTCGCCACCTGAAGGATCAGAATTCCATTAGCAAGCAGATATTGCCGCAACGCAGTGTTGTGGCTGGCTCCTTGAATGGCGGGCGACTCGCTAAGGCCCTCTTAGGGCCGATTCTTCAGCGCGCCCAGCAGCGTTTCGAAGGATGTATCACGTTGCGCACCTTCGTGGACGACACCGTGCTGAGGGTTGAAGGCCCAGAGAGAGTTGTTGGCGACCTTCTAGTGGAATCTGGTTGTGCGTCGTGCAATGATCTTGTTTCTGCTGGACTGAAGGTTTGTTCTAAGACTGTGGTGGTTTCTTCGTCATATTCCTTGTCTCTCAAGGTTTGCAATGGGCTTCGGCGAGTGGGAGTTCCAGTCACCGCAGTTCGCCATGCGGTGGATCTTGGGGTGGATGGTTATGCTGGCATATACCGCTCCCGACACAAAGCGTTGCATCGTGTCAAGAGAGCCAAGTCGCGGGCCATGGCTATTCGTCGCATGCGCAAGCGCGCCAAGCCCCGCAAGGTCACCAGTGCACTGTGGTCTACAGGGGCAAAGCCGCAAGGGACCTATGCTCACCAAGCTCATGGTATCCCTCGTCATCTCTTGGCGCAGTTGAGACGACAGGCGGCTCAGAGCGCAGTTGGTTCAGGTCCTGGTCGTTGCCTCACGTCGTCCATTGCAGCAGCTCTTGGGCGGCGTGATCCTGCTAAAGTCCTTCGACGTGAACACTTGGCGGCTTGGTTGAAGTTGCGGCGAGAGCATCCTGATCTTCATGCTCGAATTGCTTTAAGTTGGGGCAATATTTTATCTCGGTTGCGTTTGGCTGGAACTCGACGGTGGAGGATCGTCAAGGGCCCTATTGGTGCTACGGTGGCCACTCTCATGGACATTGGTTGGGTCCCGCACAGTCCGATGAGTTGGGAGTCCGAGTCTCATGTTTGGGCCATACCGTCCTGCGTTGATGAAGCCTTTTCTGTTTTCAGTCCCGACTTCGCGGACTTGCTGGACGATGTGGAAGCTACGGTGAATTCCCTGCTGTGGACGGCCGCTGGACATCACGAAGCGGGCGAAGATTTGGCTTGTGGTGCAGATATGATGCATGTCCATCGTGAACTGGATCGGCTCGCTGACGCCAGCGGCGAGGACCTGGTGGCGCTCAACCTCGTGGTAGTGAGCGGTGGCCAATGGCCTCGCCTGAGGCTGAGGGATGCAGGCTACGTCGCACCCAGCCTTTGTCCTCGGTGCCACGAGAAACCAGAGTCATTGTTCCATAGAGTGTGGGAATGTTCTGCGAACACCCAACATGAGGAGTTTGATGATTCCCAGCATTTGTATCCTGAGGCACAGGCACAGCACGAGGCGTATCCTGGATTCTGGCTTCGAGGCGTGCCTGGAGTGAGTGAGACCGTGCCCACCTTCGCTCCTCTCCCCCGCGCGGTTGTTGATTTTGGACCCTTCGACCACATTCCCCGCGACGCCGAATTTTTCGTGGCGATCTTCGGTGACGGGTCGGGGGGGCGTTTCTCGAGCGACCCTCGGCGTCGCAGGGTCGGGGCGGGGATCTTAGGCCTCACTCCAGCCGGTTGTTCCTGGGAGCCCTCCGCGGGACGTGGCTCCACTCTCGAGGGCAGAAGGCAGTCCGTGCCTCGCGCGGAGCTCCTGGCTTTCCTCATGGCTCTTAGAGCGTCTTCTTGTACTTTGCGCTTTGTCACCGATCACAGGCCGTTGGTGGATACATGGAGCAGTATTCAGCGAGTTGGTGAGTCGTGTTGGACTTTGGGTTCTAACGCTGATCCCTGGTCCGATATCCTGAAGGCTGTCGTCTCCCGCGGGCCTGGAGTGATCGACTTTGTTTGGGCGCCCTCTCATGTAGAGCTCGATCAGTTGCCTGTTCCGACTGTGCAGCAGGTTTATCATATGTTTGGTAATGAATCAGCGGACTCGCTCGCTGGGTTCATGGCCGAGATTGCGTGGTCTCAGCATGTTGTTTCCCCTGTCCCCAGCACTGACGAGCGGGATGATATGGCCTCGTTGATCCGTCGTCGTGCGCGGAGAGCCCTTGCGCGTTGCATCCTGGCGGATCCATGGACCGCGGAATGGTGGCCCCCCAGTAGAGGCGAGGCTGCGCTCCCGAGGCTCGCCCGCTCGCTTCGGGAATCGCCTCACGTGTGGGCCCGTGCGGGCCCGAAATTTTGGTGCAGGAGGTGCGATTTGCTCGCCGACCAGGACTCGACTTTCCAGGTTTGTGAATCTCCCTACAGGGGCGGTGGAACTAATGAGTTCTCGCCCTATTCTGGCCCGCGGGTTGCGGGGGGGAAGCCTTCCATGCAACCCGTCGGCTCCATTTCTGGCGGAAGTATATGCTGATTTTTTGCACCCACTGTGGGAAGACGTGCGCGTCGGATGCACGGCAGCTTGTCCCTCGATGCGAGCCCGCGGCTAAGGGCAGACAGAACCTGGCCCGCATCGGTCGAGGCGAATACCCACACCCTGGAGGCCCCCCCAAAACGGTGAGGGAGGCCCTGGGTTCCTGATCGAGTAAGTTTCTACACTTGCATTAAGGGCGCGGTTTTTGACCTACGTTGTCATTTAACCCCAATGTTCCCAATGTTCCTCCTCCACCTCCCCCTCCTCCTCCTCCTCCTCCTCCTCCTCCTCCTCCTCCTCTTCCTCCTCCTCATCCTCCTCCTCCTCCCCTCCTCCTCCTTTTCCTCGTCCTCCTCCTCCTTCTCCTCCACCTCCTCCTCCTCCTCCTCCCCGTCTCCTCCTCCTCCGTCTCCTCCTCCTCCTCCCCCTCCCCCTTCTCCTCCTCCTCCTCCTCCTCGTCCTCCTCCTCCTCTTCCTCCTCCTCCTCCTACTCCTCCTCCACCAGCAGGGCTCGTTTTCGATTCCTCGGTTTCGATTGGATTCGACTGTGATGGCTTCCGATTCCGACTTGGTTCGGTTTTGGATTCCGATTGGGAACGCGATTCCGAATTGGAGGCACGCGAGCTTGCCGATTTCCGCCGATTCGACGTTTCCCGACTCGGCTGCCGATGTGTCGCCGATCCGATCCATTTCGCCGCGCGTGCCTCTGGTCGCCCAGTGGGGATTACGCTTGAGAGGGGTCCGAGCG